GTAGTGCACCCCCTGGCATATGTTTCATGTTCTTTGTTCAATTTTGTATGCAATTTGTTTGTATACTTATCACCTTGTTCAATAAAGTTTGGGATGGTGGGGGGGGGGGAGTTGGACGGAGAAAGTTTCATCATAGTCCGCTCTCCCGGTCCTTAATGTTGCTGATGCTGAACTTCAGAACTTTCCTTTCTTTGTAGAAATGTAGAAATTTACAGTGGAAGGCTGAAAACAGTAAAAAACAAAATCCATACTGTATCACATTTTGTAAAATGTAGCATAGCATAGCATAGTTTATTTATATAGCACGTTTAAAATGCAGCATGGGAGCTGCCCAAAGTGCTGCACAGGCTAAAACAAAACACACCCATTACAAGGAGCTAAAACAAAGGATAAAAATCTCAATTTAAGCAGAGAAAACATGAATAATAAGAACACATTAAAACAATGACACAATAAAACACTAAAACGAGTCACTGTCTAAAAGCCAAAGTGTAAAAGTGGGTCTTTAAACGAGATTTAAAAACCGCCAGAGATGGAGCCTGCCGAACTCCATTGGGCAGTGAGTTCCATAGCTTTGGGGCAGCATGGACAAATGCTTGATCCCCCCGCGATTTGAGTCTCATCTGCGGCGTGTGCAGCAGCAAAAGGTCAGCCGACCTCAAAATGTACAATAAAAAGGTGCCAAACACGACCTTTCCAGATCAGCCCTGTTAGTTTAGAAGGGATTATTACGTCGATGGATTAAACCTGCGTCCCGAGCGTCAGCTGTCCGATAATAAATCTGCTAAAGTCTTTCCAAAACGTTGTAGCATGTGAACAGATCCAGAAGAGGTCTATGTTTATGTTTATGTATTTAGCAGACGCTTTTGTCCAAAGCGACTTATAAGTGATAATCGGCATGTTGCCCTTGAGGCTAACAACAACAACATTGACATCAGTCATGGAGAGGAGGGAACAAGGAGTGGACAGTGGAGAGGGGGGACGGGTGCAGGGAGGGTGCTAGTTTAGAAGATGCTCTCTGAAGAGCAGGGTCTTCAGGAGTTTCTTGAAAATAGAAAAGGAAGCTGCTGTTCTGGTAGTGCTTGGAAGGCCATTCCACATTTGTGGAACGATGCATGAGAAGAGTCTGGATTGTCCTGAGCGTGGTGTAGGCACTGCTAGCCGACCATCCTGTGATGACCGGAGCGGCCGGGCCGAGACGTAAGCCTTTACAAGAGGATTCAGGTAGATGGGAGACGTACCATCTCGGACTTTGTATGCTAGTGTTAGCTATTTCAATTTGATGCGTGCATCTAGCGGTAGCCAGTGGAGCTCAATGAACAGAGGGGTGACGTGTGCTCTTTTGGGCTGATTGAAGACCAGACGCGCCGCTGCGTTCTGGACCATTTGAAGAGGTCTCACAGTACAGGCTGGAAGACCAGTTAGAAGGGCGTTGCAGTAATGGAGGCGGGAGATGACAGTAGATTGCACCGGGAGCTGGGTGGCATGTTGTGTTAGGTATGGTCAAGAGGTGCTGAACGGTCTTCCACAAAAACAGCCGTTCACATCAATTTCCCTCTTAAACTTTGCCATATAGTGATTAGCTGGGTAACACCTATGAAGTATTCTGAATGAAACTTCTTTGACCTTATTTGTCACAAAATACTTATTAGGAATGGTCCATACTCTGTTCCTACTAATGTCAGGGACAAAGGAATTCCAATAAAAATCACATGTGGAACAGATAAGGATTCTCTCTGAAATAAAGCACGAATATTCCTATTACTGTTTTTATGCTCGATAAGACAAACTTTTCCTACGTATGTGTTCACAGGGTCGGGAGGAGAAATAGGCGGTACGAATGGTAGAACACCTTTAAAAAGCATTCTGACACCCATAGGTATTGCAGCAAACAGTACGGCATATTCTTTGGGAGTTGCTGGAAATTTATATGTGTTTAGGAGTTCTGTGTAAGACATAAGCTGTCCATTAGTATTATACGACTGATTCACAAAAACGATCTTTTTCTCAACCTAACTAGAGAAAAACAATGACTTCTTTTTATACACTATGTTCCTGTTATTCTAAATCAAGTATGTATGGGGAGTAAAATTATGTTTATAATTCAATTCAATTAAAAAATACTTTATTACTCCCAGAGGGAAACTGATTGCTGTAGTAGCTCAGAATAATAATAATAATAATAATAATCAAGTCATCAAAGAGGTGTTGTATATTACAATGGCTGTTGGCAGGAAGGATCTCCAGTAGCGGTCAGTGTTGCAGCCAAACTGAAGAAGCCTCTGACTGAAGACACTCTTCCGTTGTCGGACAGTCTTGTGAAGAGAACGCTCAGGGTTGTCCATCATGTTCTTGACTCTCTGGAGAATCCTTCTTTGCATGATCTCCTCCAGCGGTTCCACAGTCGTCCCCAGAACAGAACCAGCCTTTGTTATTAGGCTGTTGAGCCTTTTCAGGTCCCTGCTTCTGATGCTGCTACCCCAACAGACGATGGCTGAAGAGATTACACTCTGAACAACAGACTTGTAGAAGATCTGCAGCATCTTGCTACAGACACTGAAGGACCTAAGCGCCCTCAAGAAGTGCAGTCTGCTGTGTCCCTTCTTGTAAACGGCTGTGCTGTTCTTTCTCCGGTCCAGTCTGTTGTCCAGGTGAACTCCAAGGTATTTGTATTCCTCAACCACCTCCACTTCTTCTCCCATGATGGAAACAGTGTTTGACTCCACCCTGTTTCTTCTGAAGTCTAAAATCATCTCCTTTGTTTTGTTCACGTTCAAGGTCAGATGATTGTTTCCACACCATGCCACAAAGCGCTCCACCAGCTCTCTGTACTCAGCTTCCTGTCCATCTCTGATACACCCGACAACTGCAGAGTCATCTGAGTATTTCTGTAGATGACAGGTCTCTGATTTGTACTGGAAGTCTGAGGTGTACAGGGTGAAAAGGAATGGTGAGAGTACAGTCCCCTGTGGTGCTCCAATGTTACTGATCACCTGGTTTGATGTGCAGTTCTTCAGCCTCACAAACTGGTCTGTTTGTCAGGTAGTCTTTAATCCAGGCGATAGTTGAGTGACCAGGCTAACAGAACTTGTTTGTGAAACATTTGAAAGTTTTCTGGAAGCTTTCCTACATTGTAGTCACAACCCAGGATAAAAGTTAGGCCACCAAATTTAGAGAAGACATGTGAGGAGTAAACCGTCCAACTCCTTCCAAAGGAGCACATCCTTCTGACAATGGCGCCCCTAAAGGGTGGCCCACCCCTAGAAATTTGCTGGCCCCCTCAGCAAAAGCCAGAGTTAATAAATTATTTTAATGTTCACTCAAACCATAAATTGATCTTATTTATTCAAGAAATAATTTTCAAAACAAAATAAAAATAATACAATTAATGAGTAAATAAATTATCTGAATAAAAATTAAGTACAAATGTTTCTGCTGCTCACTGTTTAAAAAAAAGAAATTAAACAAAAAAATTACATTAAAAAAATGTCAATAACATTTTAAATAACTGAAATGTATTATACTAAAATGTTTGTGTTTGTAAAATGTAAGTTAAATGTTTTGGATATGTACTGTTTTTTTTTTTTAATAAAGGTGCAGTACATCACCACAGGCTAAACTCTCCCAGTTACTACAAGGACCAATATGGTGTGCCACCCCAAAAATGTCTTTGGCCTTGTTTGGCCACCCCTATCAACATTTTCTGGAGGCACCCCTGCCTTCTGAGAACCCAGTTCTGGCTCTGGAGCCCAGGTTTGATCCTCAGGAAGACGAGGTGAAGGAATTGGCCCAAAAGTCTGATGATCACAGGCTAGCTGAAGGAAAAACTGCTAAAGGTGCCCCCCAGGCGGAGAGGGATGACGAGCAGCTCCAGAACAGAAATGCAGTGGTAAGTTAACATCTGGGAAGAGATAACTAGTCGGGTGACTGAACCCTGTCAAACACCTGTTTAGTTTCATGTGATTTAATAGGAACTTCTCACATTTCTTATTGTTTTAATAGTTGCTGCTTAAAATAAACTTTTATTTTATTCATCTGAAGATTCAGGAGAAAAGCTAAACTTTTATTTTGTAAAAGGAAACCGCAGACGCATTCCGGTGACAACGGTGCCACCTTGTGGTCTCCCTGATGAAGGGCCCATCCTGTAGCCATGCTTCTAACCCAGTGCTCTCCAGCCCAGGTCTCCATGGCTCCTAACCAGCTGTTTCCTGCTCCAGTGACATTAATGTCTGACTCTGCCTGGTTTTCACTCACCCATTAGACTTCAGACCCAACAGACTCAGTGAAGCGTGTTGGACACAAGTGTAGGTATCTGACCTACTGGGTTCAGGCTGCAGGACCAGACTGAGGCTCTTTCCCATTCTTTAACCATGTAGTGTTTTCTTTTAGGGGCTTATACCAACTGCCCCTGGTGGTAGAACAAACCTGGATTTACTTGAGGAATGTTGATGTCACAAGGTCCTACCGACGCTCCAGCACGTCTACTCCTAACCCACCGTGTGCATGCGGAAACAACCTCTGGTAACCAGGATGAAGCTCTACGCCGGGAGCTGTAGAACGTTCTCCACGCCCGGAGAACCAGTGGAGGCTCTAGACTGACATCAGACACCTGCAGCAAGAGCACCAGTCTGGAGTCAAAGATGAGGACCGCCAGTTTAGGGCACGACACCCCATCTCCCACTTCTCACAAGTCCTCATTTGAGACGAATTTAGTTGATCTGAAGGCAGATTTACAGGAACGGAAGCTTCTGGAATACGAGACACAGGTCCAGAACCGTAGCTCGGCGTTTGCCTTCATGTGGACTTTAGCTCTAGTCCTAGCTAGAGGACAGGCTGCTGGTTTGAATTTACGTTTATATTTGAGGTCGTGCTGAAGCTCGGGAGGCCAGAGGCTGTTGAGCCCAGGGGTTTGGGTCAGCTCGAAGTGGGCCAGATGGTTTTAGGAACACAAACCCGTTTAACCGTTAGTAGACAATAACAGGCCAGGACTCAGTAGGAAGTTAGTTTTCTCTGAATATTTTTATTCTTTGCAGCAGAACGACACTGGCTCTGCTCAGAAGAAGGTGTTTGGTCTCTTGGTGGTGAAGCGTGGTTTGTGCTGACGGCGCAGGACCCGATGAGGCAGAGGGAACTTGATCTTGGAGTCCTGAAAGCAAACAAGTCGGTTTTAGAGCAGAGCCAGGAGTCAGACCTGCTAACTAGCTCATGTTGCCAGTTTCAGAACCGCCACGTTCCAAAATGGCAGCAGGAAACCTGGAAGAGGAACCTGGCAGAATCATCTGGCGGGTTTTGAATCTGGATCTGACGAAGGAGGCGGCAGTCCAGAGAGAGACCCGCTGACCAACAGAATAATGTGCACACTCACGTGGAACTGCTTGATGGCAGGTCGGCGGCACTTGTTAGCAGCGATGACCTGGACCTTCATGATCTGGATGGCGTGGGCACGTGCCCGATGGCGAGCTCCCATGTCACGATCTGAAAGACCAACAGGTTCAGACTTCCTTTACACATTCACCAAGTAGAACCCAGAGCGGACCCTCGGACTGGTTCTGATTAGACGCAGAAACACCCGCGTGGGTCCAAACCTGAAGAACCGATCACCTGAGAGCCAGTCCTGACGAGAACACACAGACCAGAGTCCAACACACAGCGGTTCTAGTCGGGGTCCTGGTCTTCGGAGCTTCAGGGATCAGCCGTTTGCACCTCCCCAGAACAGATCCACGAGTTAGATCCAAGCTAAACGGGATGCTACTTTGTTTAAACCCGACTTGTTCTATCACCTGGGTTTGGACCCATTCTGAACCGCCCACATTTACTGTTCTGCTGATAACCTGGAGCTGTACGCACGTGTAATCATCCGTGTGACAGCTTAGTGCTTTAAATGTAACATTCCAGCCCAAAACCGTAATTCTGTCTGCATCTTCAGGTGAAACTGCGCTCCACGCTCATGTAGAACCAGCTGTGGCTGCAGGTTAGCAGCACGCCCGGCCTGTGCTCTGGACCGTCCTTCCACACACACGAGAGAGGGGGTGTGTGTGCCGTGCAGCATGACTGTGTGCAATATGAATTTAATGAGTCGTCACATTTATTCATATTTATTGAACTTTAAATGTAAATCAAACTCAAAACATATTAAAAAAGTGTGTTGGGGTCCTTCGGGTTCCTTCTGTCTAGTGGCGGCGGCGGTTGGCCACACAGGTGCCTGATTTATACATTTTTAATCGGCACTTAAAAATAATTTTGGCTGATATACAAAAAAATTTAATGTTCTATTGGTCGGCCTTTAATCTCAATTTCGGTCTAAATAATCTCAATCCTGGTTTTGCCCAGCCTAAGTTGTAGTGTTGTGTTTGCACACAGAAAACTGAGCAGACCGCTTCGTGTTGGCCTCACTTCGCTGGCTTCCTGCGGCCTTTCGCACTAGTTTAAGGTTTAGCGGGATGTTTTCCGGGCTCTACGGGGTCACGCTCCTCCGTATGACTACATCATCGAATCGGCATTCTCCATCACAATCTCTGCGCTCAGCTGAGCAGGAGTTGTTGGATGTCTCACGTTCTAGGCGCAGGACCAGGGGTGATGGTACCCGTCTGGTCCTGGCGCCTTCTCTCTGGAATGAGCTGCTGCTCAGTAGTCGACAGTCACCATCGCTGCAGGTTTTTTAAGAGTCGCCCCAAGACACATTCGGCTTTTAATCTTTGGTTGGGTCAAGGTTGGTGGAAGGCGCTATATAAATAAAATTTGATTGATTTACATGCTTTTATTTTGACGGGCCATGTGAGTAACGGGTTGGGTTAAGCGGTGTGTGTTGGTCCTGCAGAACCCGCTTTCTGTGGGGAACTGTGGGCCGTGCTGTGACCACTCATGGTAAATGTAAGGTGGACCAACCATCCACGCTGCCACCTGTAGTTTTCGGAAGAGCCGACTTGAAGCCCAGTGGGCGGTTCTCACCACGGCCATCTTGGCCGCGCCACTCCAAACAACACATAAACAGAGCAGAGAGCAGGGCTGTGAGGCAATGTAGCTGCAAGCTAACAGAGGCTGGCAGGTGCTTTAGCCAGAAAACTAAAGGTGAGCGACTCTGCTACCATCGGTGTTTTAGGCGACAGAACTTTTAACGCAAGGCCAAGGACGCGGCCTCACCTGGGCCAAGCTACTAGCACGACGGCTCTGCTAGCTAAGCATCGTAGCCTCAGGTTTAATTACGCGTAAACAGATGAGAGACAAACTCCCTTCTGTCAGAACCACAGGGCAGCAGCTGTGGCTACGCTGTAGCTCATCACCACCAGTGTAAAGCACTCGAGTCCAGACTCAAACGAGCTTTACAAGAGCAGGTCTTCCATTCACCATGAAGCCGTCTCCGTCAGCTCCATGGAGACACGAGTGGACAGACGTTTTGCTCACACTTCTCCGTCTCCTGGGGAGCGCTGCAACGCAATTCCCCGCCAGGACAGCAGAGGGCGGAGCGCTGTTGTGTCACGGATCCGGTGTCGGTACAGGATCATACATTATTGTTTGTTAACACCTAAATGTTTTCTTTATAATTGTAATTTGTTAATAAAACACCATATTATCTTTGTTTTGTAAAGAAAGTGAAACTGCATAAAACCAACATCAGACTGAAACAATAGAACAGTTCTTATACGTGAAGCCACATCTGTTTGTATTCATGTGGAGTTCATCTGTATATTTCCTTAGTTGGTATCTAAATACATTCTTTGACTCATAATGTTGCTTGGTGTCTTTCAATAAAGTTCTTATATTTTATTTTGCCCCATTTCATCAACATCAAGAGCTTTTGAGGGTCACCGTTTATCATTTGCTTTTATTTTACATTTCCTTTAGAAGTTCAAACATATTTTCTCCAAAAAGTGTTGATTTTTGGACTACAGGACTACAACCGCTAAGACTACGACCGCAAGTTTGTTCTGACCAATCAAAATCATAACACGATAGATGATGGACACCCTCATAACTACTTTGACGTCATCGGCAGTCGAAGGACCCCGAGCCGATCCTGCACCGACACCGGTCCAAGTGAGTGTTTACTGTTGTGTTTCTTGTATTTAAGACTTTAACAGACAAATTTGTCTCTCATCATCCTCCACCTCTTCACGCGCTCGCCACCTCCAACCCATGCTTCCTGTCGTTTACGTCCACGAACAAAACGCTCGCTTCACCCCTCCAGTCACGGATGACTGAGACGTTCATATTTGTAGTTTTTCTGCGAGGTATTCTTCAAGCTGCTCCGTGTCTGCCGCTAGATAAGCTCGGCTCTCTTTTGAGGGCGAATGGTGACGTCGTCGAGGACAGCGGCGTCCTGTCCAATCACGAGCTCTCATTAGGGCTGCAGCTAACGATTATTTAGATTGATGAATCGGATGTGGTCTCAACTCGATTCATTGATTAATTTGATTAAACGGGAAAATAAAAAAATTCTAGAGAATAACTTTTCCCTCCTTCCTTTAACAGAACCTGATTAGAAAACGGTTCAGTAACGTGTAAAGCAACACGCTGTCACCTAAATATGTCCATAATTAAACTATGATTCAGTATTTCATTAGCATGTTCAGTAGTAAGCTACTGAACATGCTAACAGTTAATTTATTAATGAACAGGACGGTGACGGGGACTTTTCTTCTGCTTCTAGAGTTTAGAGGTTCTTCGTTTCATGAACATCGGGTTTTCCTGAACCCACTTGATCGTGAGCCTGCTACCTGCTAGCTAGGGCTGGGGGTAAACGATTATTTTTAAAACGATTATTCTGGCGATTATTTTATCGAATAGTCGACTATTCTAATGACTATTTAGAAAATTAATCTAATGATTATTTTTCTATTGCACAATTAACAAAAACCAGAAAATCTCAAATAAATTCCTCAAAAAAATTGATAAATTCTTACTGTAAGAGAATAAACACTACAGGCCTTCCATTTTGTATAACACTGCGTTTATTGTGTTGTTTGGTTATGTTCTGGTGACGTGTAGAACTTGGGAGTGCAGGCTGCTGCCTGAGAGGTGGTAGAAGATGGTGTGTCTCCATGCTGCTTTGTTTTGGTCACTTATGTGCGTGAGGCGAGTGGTCTTACGGGTTAAACCAAACAGGTGATATTTTACACTAAACCGAAAACCCACAACACTCTAAATGTAATAAAAGGGAGATCTACACCACAAAAAAGATGAACTCTAAACCAAAACGTAACAGCTTATCCCAACGCAAGAAGCTGTTAGCGAAGATGCTAACAGTAGCTTTACCAACATTCAGTTCAAGTTACCAAGTTTAAATAAACCAAAAACACCCAGCAGCAAACAGACCAGCACGGAGGAGAGACTGCTACCACCAAAACAGCTCTCCTCATGTCTGAAAGAAGCTCCTTAATGAAGGGAGAAATGCTCCCGGTGATTTTCTACATCTGCGATAGAGACGGAGCAGCGCATCTGACCCCGGAAGTTGTTGTCCGTTGCCGGGAGACGAAGGGGCAAAACAGGAAAATAATCTAGTAGTGGACGGACGTTGTTCCGGGTCTTCGGTATTTGGCGGAGATGTTAGTGAAGGCGGAGAAGAGGGCGAACTAGAGGAAAAACAGGCAGATTCCTCCTCTATTTACAAACTCCTGGGGATGCAACAAGTGGGCGCGGTGCGTCGACTTCCGGATCTGACGTCGACAAATTTTTAGAATCGAGCCGTCGACTTCGTCGAGGCTTCGCTACAGCCCTACTGCTAGCGTTAGCTAATCTGCTTGTAGTTACACTTTTGGCACTAAACTCTGGACTGTTTCTGCTTCTGCGTCTTCGCTGGTTTCGGTTTTCCTCCACAGCCCCTAGATTAGCTCAGTGTGCACCGGTGAAACACACCAATTACACGAGCGACATAGATGTGCCTCGGTCTCATCTGCTGCCGCATCAGATGAGCAGTGACGGTTACTTAAAGGTTGCACAACACAACGAATTGATAACGAATGGATTTGTTGTTGCAGCCCTAGCCCAGGTTCACGTTTCTTCCATCTTTGACCCGTTTGCCCTGGAACACAAACACCTAACGGCTCGGCTGGACCGGTACTCACAGCACTGGGTGACGGCTCCAGACGTGCTCAGGTCCCGGTACTCTCTGTACATGTTGTGGGTTCCGCTCCGAGAGTCGTAACGCAACCAGATACCAAAGTTTTTCACCTTCAGGGGCGTCTTCTCGTGGACCTGAGGACAGAGGGGGTTATGAACGGATCAGCCAGGCTCAGCTTCATGAGAACCAAACGTCGCTTCTTCTGACAGCTGATCTACGATGGGATGTGGACGGGACTCTGACTCAGATCTTTTTACTGAAAATGTTCTGATTCATTTCACCCACCAGGCCACAGTAGACAATCTCGCCTGAAGCCTTCTTCATCTTCCTCAGCTGCGAGACAAAGTACCAGAAACGGGACTTTGCCACCACGTGGTTTGGAGCAAAGATCCTCATGCGGTAAAGAGGAGGGGCGGGGTTCTTGGGCGAGGGCAGCAGACGCCCGATGACTTTATACTCCCGAAGCTGCAGAAAGAACCAGAACATGTCAGAACTTCACATCATAGAAGCCTGAAACCATCAAAGCATGTTGGACCTTGAATTCACTTTCAAAGGCACCGCAGCATCAGAGAAAGGCGACAAGGACCATTTCCTGTTTGCACACCAGACAAAATCACGCCACTGACCACGGCGTGACCTTTGGGTTTGGGTGCAGACACAAACAAGATAAGACAAGGGTGCATCAGTAAGACACGGCTTTGTGCGACCAGAACTCCTCCTTCTCAGGTTTGAGCCCATCTGAAACCTTTCTCCACCTGGTTCCGGTCAAAGAACAGGAAACACTTAGGATCTGGAAATAAACCAACTTCTAAATAAAACCAGCTGAGTTTTTAACTCAACAACGATGTATGAGGAACCTTCTGGAGATATAGCGAAGTCCTGGATAAAGTTACTTAAAAGACCGACAACAGTATGTACAAATTAAAGATATAAAATCTGGATTTAGAGAAATAAGTTGTGGAGTTCCACAAGGTTCAGTAATAGGTCCTATATTATTTACTTTATATATAAATGACATATGTAACGTGACAGATTTTTTCAAATTCATAATGTTTGCAGATGATACAAATTTAGTTTGTTCAGGTAAAGATGTTAAAGAACTTTTAAAGAAGGCCGAAAAAGAGTTAAATATCCTCAAATCTTGGTTTGATGTAAATAAACTATCAATGAATATAAAAAAGACTAAATTTATGATTTTTGGAAATAAGAAGGTAAAAAATTGGGACTTTAAATTAACAATTTCAGATACTGAAATTGAAAGAGTGTCTGAAATAAAATTTCTTGGTGTTGTGATTGACTCTAACTTATCCTGGAAGCATCATTTAAATTATATAAAAGGAAAAATTGCCAAATCTTTGGGTCTATTATATAAGCTGAAGGACATACTAAACCATAAGGCCTTACGTCTAATATACTGTTCGCTAATACAACCATACATGGCATATTGTATAGAAATATGGGGTTCAACTTTTAAAACATATATACATGAAATAAAAACTATACAAAAGAAATCTATTCGACTTATGAACAAGAGCAATTATTATGCTCATACTGGCCCGTTGTTTTTAAAATCACAGATTATGAAATTAGAAGATCTATATTATTATAAAATAATGCAATTTATGTTTAGAGTAAAATTAACGGCTCTGCCAGAAAATGTACTAATGTTTTTTGCAAAGAGGGAAAGTAAATATGATTTAAGAGGTGTATGTATGTTTGTTCTTAAAAAAGCCAAAAAGGGCATGAAAAGTAGATGTATCTCTGTAATGGGGGTAAAATTTTGGAATGAGGCTAAAATAGAATTAAAATTAGCAACTTCTCTTTCAGTTCTTAAAAAACTTATCAGTAAAAATATTTTTGAAGAGTATTAATTTGATGTTGATGGATGGATTTGTGTTTTACTTTTATTTGGGTTGTTGGTTCATTGCGGGAAATTGAAAAATTGTTTTGTAAGTAGGTTAGACAATTCTATAAGCTATTGCTTCTGCCTAAACCTGTTCATGAGATACCAAATAGACACCATATACAACATAACATGTATATGTTAGTGAGAAATGGTATTTGTATGACATGTTATTGTATATTATCTTAAGATGACTGACTGAATAAATTGATCATTCATTCATTCATGCTGCTCAGATGTCCAGAACCATCACAGGGTTTTACTGGTCCCAGTTAAAGGCATCATCTCTGCTAAGGTTCTGGTCCAAAACCCAGTTAGTCAGAATGAACGTTTTAAACCGGCTGAATGTTAGTTTTTCTTTTACTTTGAGACTCGCTCTGCTCCTGAACTCATTTCTGAAACGTTTTACTTTTATTGTTTTGATGCATTTAGAATAAAACCAACACCGATGGTTTTCAGCCTAACAGACCTCCGCTAAAGAGCCTCCGAATGACCCGGATCCCCGTCTTAAACTGGACATATGCTCTAAATGTGACTAAAGTGTGAAGGTCGAGTAAAACACCGATCAGTAAAGCCACTACAACTGGAGCTGAGACCGTGTCCGACGCTTTTAACCACCGAACGTGTAAAACGCGTCCACATGGTGCCGCCGCCATGTTAGAGCCGAACAGGCGCAGCGCGAAAACATCAATATTTTGTGCTTAAGCGCACTTTTACCACATGCTAGCTCAGTAATGCAGTTACATGTATGTAACACGGTTATATCGTCTTTTATAGAGCGCGTATGAAGGCTAAAACGACTAAATAAGAGTCTGAACGTACGGTTCCGGAGGCCTTCATGGTGTCTCCCGATCACTGCCACAGTCAAAGAGGAGGGAAGAAGGTAGCGACTGCGCATGTCAGTAGCACTAGGACAGCCTTTTTATGCAAATTTAGTCACATATGATTTGTAAAACACACATGATTGGTCAATGATCGATGATTTTTTTTCTCCATAACTTTATTTAAATCATGTAGATAGACAATATCAATTTTTTTGTTCTTTTCTAACAAAGTTTTAGTAAAAACGTTTTTACGACATGTTTTAGCTAGTATCTCTAGCCCAAAGCCTAGAGGGTTAGGGTTTATCACAAAAGGTCTGCTCTAGCCGTCATCAGCGATCTCCGGTGTTGGTGACGTCACTTCCTTTTATCCTTTTTTTACAACAAACTTTATTAGTGAAATTGGGGATCTTACATAGCAACGAAGTAAAGCACAACAATACAAGCAAACAAACAAAGGGGCCAAAGTGATAAAACAGTGTTCAAAGGATAAGAATACAGAGCACAATCAGGTACTACAAGGAATAGAGAGGGGGAAAATGTGTTACCAGTTGTACAAGTCGTATTCTTCAAGTAGGTTCCAAGTTTTTATAGCTTTTAAATTTCCTGAGTTTTTAATAGAATCAGCATATTTTTTAATTTCACAGAGGAAGACAGGTAAAAAAGGATTAACATGGGTATATTTACACTTATGAATATAGTATTTAGCTAAAATAAAAATTAGGTTCAGTATGTAGATTCTATTACTCTCTTTGCCTTCAAAAAATCCAAAAATAACATGTTTCAAACAGAAGGAGACATCAGGAAGAACCTTTTGCTGCAGAAGATCTAAGACATCAGACCAGAATTTAGAAGTATTTGTACAGGTCCAGAATAGGTGAGTAATTGTTTCAGGATGACTGTTACAGAAAGAACAGCAGGTGTCAATGTCATTTTTAAATCTTTGGGAAATAAAATGTTTAACAGGGTAACAGTTATGTAATATTTTAAAAGAAACCTCTCTAATTTCATTAGTTAAAATATATCTGTGGGGTAAAAGCCAAGTTTTATTCCATGGAATATTATTTACAGTAGAGTTCCAAAATGAAATAATATAGGGAGAGGAGATGGAAAGCTGTTGAAAAAGACCTCTGGTAGATTTATTGCATGATTTCTTTGGAGAAAAGCAAATTTTACCAACGTATGTTTGAGCGAGGTCAGTATAAGTCACCAAACCATCCAAAAAAGAGGATCCTGTTAGCAGCATTTTGATACCAGACGGTATTGCATTCATCACAATCGTGAACTCCCTAGGAGAAACCACTACAGGATACTTTTCTGTAAATTCAAAGTGTTCCTTTTATCCTTTTAGCTATTCCTTTTTATCCAAAGGACAAGATATCAGCAGGTAAATAATGTGGAGTCATACATAAAATCCCAGGACAGCTCAGCAATAAAACTTTCATAAGAGAAACCGGACGCCAACTCAACACACAAGAGCAGAAAGTACAATAAAGAAATCAGCCGTAACACCACTGCACGAGGGAAAACCACCAAACAGACTGGGACAGAACACGGATCATAAACACAGAACAACAAAAATACAAAGAAGCGACTGAAATAAGGAGACGTGGACACTCAACGATGAACAGAGATGATGGAGTATTCTAAGTGGATCCCTCATGGGACAGTGTCATCAGCAAGGACTCGGGCAGTTGAAGCAGCATCATCCTCTGCTGCAGTCCCTACACCCCCAGCAGGTCCCTGAGGTCCAGTGACCAAAGCCTACTGGTTGTGCAGCACCAGGCTAAAGGTCAAAGGTGACAGATCATCTGCTACTGTGGCCCACAGACTCTGGACCTGTCTTCACCTGAGACCAGTGGACTCAGTGGACTCCTTTAAACTCACCTGTTCAGGCTTTGGCGGGACCTTCATCATCTCCCTCTGTTTGTTCTGCTCTTATTCTGCCTTTCCCGGGATCCACTGATTTCCCTCTTTCTTTACTAAAAGAACAAAAAAGGGATAATGAAGATAAACACAGAATGAAGGTACAAAAGAAATGCAGATACACAGCAGCGCCGTTTACTTATAAGAACTTTCCCCTTACACTTTACAGAATCTGGTTTTACATTTACTAGGTGCAAGTTTCGTCTTCTTACCTAATAGAAAAGGCCACTTTTTTAGACATTTTATTTCTTGTTGTGTTAGCATTTGCTGTCAGGAAATCCTTCATTATGCATGAATAGTATAGTAAGCTATTCTTTATTACGGACTCTAGTCCAATTTACAGAAGCAGAAAAACATCGTACAGGTAAGATGAAATGAACACGATATGACACACTAAAGCACAAGAGACAAATAATCATGAAAAACAAACGAGACAATAATGACAATAGTGTGAAAATAAAGTATAAATTATTGTAACTCCCTAATCTAAGAGGAAACAACTGTTATAGCAATGTTTCCACATCTTTGACTGGCAACGTCAACAGGCTCCTCTCCTGTGGAACCAGCTCCCAGCTTTAGTCCGTGAGGCAGACACTTTGTCTACTTTTAAGAATAGGCTTAAAACATTTTTATTTGATAGGGCCTATGGTTAAAATCTGATGTTAGCCTAAATCTGGACAAGTGGGGGAGTACAGGGAGGTGGAGTGTACAGTCGGTAAAGACGGCTCTCCCTTGCCCTGCCTCCAACATGCCTCCATCTAAATAGGATAGATTATCCAGAGTTATCTCTGTAGTTATGCTGCTATAGGCTTAGACTGCTGGAGGACACACTGACCACTTTCCACACTCTACTGCTTTCTTCTACAATCTGCTCTTTAACTGTATTATTTCCTGCTATTTCAGCTGTTAACTTTATTTTCTCTCTAAGTGTTTTTCTCCCCAGAAGAAGCTACAACGATGTTCTGCTGAGCTGTGGTGGCCTCATGGAGGGGGCCATCGTCTAGCACACTGCTGCTAACCACTAAAACATTCTTCCTCTCCTGATAATAACTTTTTGCTTTCCTTGACGTTGGATGTGCTACTACTAGTTTATCCGTTTAATTATAGATCCACTAGGATAAATACTATAAAGTTTATCTCACCAAATAGAATATTTACTAAGACATCACAATATAACTACAGACACATTACTTGTCCGTGTGTGTGTGTGTGTGTATGTATATATACATATATACATATATATATATATATATATATATATATATATATATATATATATATATATATATATATATATATATATATATATATATAGCCATGCCCTGATGTGGGGGCTGGGGGGTGTGCGGCTAAATAAGTTTGGGAACCACTGCATAAGGCACTATCATTAGCTCTTTTAGTTAAACACTTCCTAGTTTCTTTGTTCCATGCATGGAACCCTGTGTCTAGGTTAGTGGGATCAGATTGATTCTTTTTCATCCACTGCGCCACCTCTGGATGTTTGAAGTTCGGAACCTGATAGACCCATTCGGTATAGTGGGTGTGCCTTATCTTATGTAGTTCCCAGCCTTGCGGCTGAAGGCCCACCTCGTTGTGTAGGCTGAAAAAGGTCCAATTAAAATATGTACTATTCATGGGGATTACATAATTCTGATACCCTGTGTAATTTGCGTACTCACTGTGACCTTTTCGTGAAAGCCGAGCTAGTTCCTGTGAGATAGATCTCTTGTTTCTGCCCATGGACTCCACCTGGGGAGGAGCAGTCTCTTCACTTTCCTCTACCTCTTCCATGGGACCGGTTACCCTAGGGGGCACCCGTAACAGCCATTTAATCACACTATTTTTAGATTCTTCCACATGTGGCATTCCTCTACCAAAGACTTAGATTCAAGTTTCAGAGTAGTATTGGGAGGTGGAGTAGGTCAGTGATCCCTTTTTTCCCTCCCCTTGGACATTCGCTGATACCAGTACGTAACATTCTGTCATGAACTCCTCCAGCTGACTCCATTTCCCAACATTCCCGCCACCAACATGGCCTGCCGACGTCATCACACCGACACTATAAATGGAAGTGCCAGCATTCATTCATTACTCTGTCATCGTACCTACCAGACTTTGAATCGAGTTCTCAGGCTTACTAGCCCTCAAACCCAACCAAGGATCTAACCACGCTGTCTACTTCCACCACTCCGCGTCTGGGCCACAGACCATCTCCGCTACGCTTCAGCTCTGCCACGAAACCTGACACATTCCTTGTTTCCCAGGAGCTAAGGCTACTGTTCTTGGTCTGGAAGCATCCATACTCAATCCTATGGGGCCACCATCTTTCTATCTTTATTACTTTATATGTAGTAAAGTTGTGCCCCTTTTCCAGATCCTTTCGAGGACAATATTTGTGCACCCACAGCTCTACTTCGCCTGAGGTTTGATTTAAGATTTTCTTTTTTCTTAATACTACCTGACAGGACTGATTAGGCTCTTTCAGCCCTGTCTGATCCATTAGGATGGCCATATACTCTGCCCATGGGTGGGTCTCATCACTTTTTATGTCATTTCTGACTTCCTGTTCTGTTGTGCTAAGTGATGTTACAGAAGGTGGTGTCACATTTGGGTTCCCTGTATGGTTTTCACCACAGGGTAGGCGCAGGCAACCGGTTCTGTTCCCTGTTACACTATCTTGAATCCAACCTGTATTGCTATCATGCAGGCGGTTACGTTCTCATTAAAGTCTTCCTTAGGCCATTGCAGCCTCATTTTGGAAATGTTCCAATTTCCTTGTAATTGTTGTGGTTGCCCATGAGTTATGTTATAGGTTACTGAGGACACATGGTACGTTCTAAGATACACATGTATCCCGTACGTTATGGTTATGCACAATATTATGATGCTTAGTTCGAATAGGATGAAAAAGGCCCATCTGGTCCAGTTTTTCATCCAATTCTTTCCTTTTGGAATATTCACATTTATCTGTGTGTCTTCGGGATCAACTCTAGCCGGAGCTGATGCATACCTGACAACCTTCCGCTTCCTGCTGCTATCCTCTTTATGCTTCTGAGGAGAGAACATCTGCAAAACAGAAGCATAAAAATCAGCAGGAAGTGAAAGTGTCCTGCTCTAATTAATTTGCTCTAATTAATTTGTGTCAGACCTGGGACCAGCCTACTACGTGATATCTTAGTATACGCAGTCCCATAAGTCTTTGGCCAATATTCTGCTCCGTTTCGGGTAGTGGCTATGTTCACAGCTGAGCTGCAAATGCGACCTGACAGGTCTATTGCTTCTATCAATGTCAGCTGATATGGCATGAACTTACCGACTATAGAGACCGACTATGGTGAAATTTACTTTCATGTCTCGAGAACTCAGTTATAAAAAACTCAAAGGTTATCAGAAAGTGGTCCGAGAGGACTGGATTATGTGGAAATATCATTATTTCCTCACACTCTATGCCATAATTCAGCACAAGATCCAATGTATGATGGCTGGAGTGGGTGGAGCTATGTATTCTTTGGGTAAAACCAATTGAGTCTGAGATATTACTAAAGGCTACATTGAGGCTATCATTTTCAATGTCCACATGAATGTTGAAATCCCCCACTATAATGACCTTATCAGTATTTAGCACCAAATCTGATAAAAAATCAGAGATCTGATCCAAAAACTCAGAGTAAGGGCCTGGTGGACGATATAAAACTACAAACAAGAGTGGTTTCACAGTCCAGGCTGCTGCGTCCAGCGCACGGTCCATTCTCAAAGTGGCGCAACCAAAAAACTATAATTAGCACACGATCGTTCATGTCCGCACATGTTCCCTACTTTCTGTTTTATTTGTGCCTGAAGCGCTCTGCTACTGCGGAGCTCATCACCTGTGCTGCGGTGATTTCACCTCACTGACGCAGCATTGAAACGCGCTCTCCGCTTTTCGGTCAGGAGATCCCTTTGATCTGCTCAAAAGTAACTGATGAGGTGAAAAAGTAAGAATCCAGGCAGCAGATTTTCTGGAGAGTTTAGAGGAGATGCAGGAAGATGAGAGACAGACAGGACAGGAAAATAGTTCAATAAAAACAAGAAAACAAAGTACAATGTAGGTAGATTTATCTCCACTACACGTTTCTACCTGTATAAAACAATAAGTTACACACATGTAATATTTATACATCTGATACAATTCAGATCACATTCAAAACTCAGTCACACACCCAGGGCCGTAAGGCATTTTGGGGGCCAAGGCAAAACAGACCCCCCCCCCCCCCATAACTGGGCTCCCCAGAAGCCTCTGTGTAATTCATACCCTCTCCAGTAGTGTTAGTTATATGGTGTTTATAAAAGCCCCTCAGACATTACTGACATGTTCTAATATTATCAGATGAAAAACTAAATGATCAGACATGCTGTCTCATCTGCTGCTTTTCTAAACCTGCTAAAAGTAACAAAACCATTTGAAAGCCACTATTTGCGGATTCTCTGAAAGTTTCCATGGAGTGTGTGACAACTTATTATTTCATTGATCCTATCGTCTAATCTCACAGCTGAAACAAGCATCCTTAATCATCTGTGCACAGGAAGCGTACCGATGCTGTAGTAAAACAAAAGGTATAATAATTTATTATTAATAAAACCTTGTTGAAGCACTAAAGCTGAAAAATGAGATTTTTCAATAAATATGCAAAATATTTACATATGAATTGTTTTAGAGCCCTTTAATTGGCAGAATCTGATATTAATTTAGTTCTTACAAAAAATGGGTCCCAACATGGTTTGTGTGGCGTTGCCATAGTGTGACGTCATAGGCACAGATCCCCTGTCCTCTTGTTTGGAAATGGAAACATGGTCACCCTATATTAAACAAACTGTCCACCCGGGCTTTTGCGCTGCACAGAGACGCTTCGCTGCCTATGACTGAACGTCAGTTGAGAGCGGTTGAGAGTCAGTCTCATGCAGACGGACCAATGAAGAGAGGGCTTCAAGTTAAGACCCTCTCCTCATTGGTCAGTCCACACGAGGTGGGTCAAAGGTTACCCTGAGCGGGTTATGTGATGTCAGGCATTCAAGTATTGAGTATATTTACTGCATATTACAGAAAAATATTCTGTATGTGACCATATTATGGTGATCCTTGAGTCGTGATGATGGGGTCCCTTTAATATTGTTGCCCAGGGTCAGGACTGGACTGGGACAAAAATTCAGCCCGGGCATTTTGACTGGAGACCGGCCCATCACCTGTTTTTTTTGGAAAAGACATTAAGCCTTACGCTGTTTCTGACACACACCAACGTACACTTTCTTATTGGTAGTATTTATGTATCAATCTAATAAACGTAAACCTACACCATCCTTCCTATCCTGGTATTCTAAAAAGTAGGGTTGGGGGTAACTGATTATTTTTAAAACGATTATTCTGATGATTATTTTATCGAATAGTCGACTATTCTAATGACTATTTAGATGATTAATCTAGCGATTACTTTTCTATTGCACAATTACTAAAAACCAAAAAATTCTCAAATAAATTCCTCCAAGAAATTGATAAGTTGTTACTGTAAGAGAATAAACACTACAGGCCTTCCATTTTGTATAACACTGCTTTTATTGTGTTGCGGTTGTTTATGTTCTGGTGACGTGTAGAACTTGGGAGTGCAGGCTGCTGCCTGAGAGGTGGCTGGAGAAGGAGTGTCTCCATGCTGCTTTGTTTTGGTCACTTATGTGCATGAGGCAAGTGGTGTTACGACCCTTCCTGGGGAGTCACGTGTTTCTCCTATTTTAACTGTAAATCCTTCTAGCTGTTATATTTATAACAAGAAACAGATATTCGGACGGAATATTTTCATGTTTATTCGAATATGATTGTGGAACACACCCAGCATCATAATAAATAAGGTAATATTTAGGTCAATTTAACCCTTTACACGTGACCAGGACACTGTAATCAATTTTTGGCAAGGGAAATGATCATTTGTTGCCATTTTTGAAGTGTTTATGAATGTGAAAGACACCCAGCATCCTGTGATGGCACTAATAACATCAAGAGATAATAAATAAAGTAATATTTAAGTAAATGTAACCCTTTACAGGTGACCAGGACACTGTAATCAATTTTTGGCAAGGGAAATGATCTTCTTTTTTTTTTCTTTTTTTTGTTGTTGCCATTTTTGGGGTGTTTTTGATGATACAGTAGGCAGTATGAGTACAGTAACATCAACAGATAATACATGAAACCCTAATTTGGTCAATTTTAGCCTCCATGAAAATCTTAGCAATTCAATCACTTTTTGGCAAGTAAAATGCCATTTTAGTTGTCTACAATTAAATCATCAATAAAGAATTTAAAGATATTTTGAGGCATTTCTTATAGGTAAACAGGAGGGTGTAGTCTATTTGGCAAGTGACAATCTTAATTGTATGTGCTGATGTGCTTTTATCTTGTTACTTTTAAATAGAGCAACGTAATGTATAGATAGTAACCTACACAGTGTCATTAAAGCCAAAGCTTGATCATTTTAAATACTTTTTTTCAAGTAAAAATGTGCCCCAAACTAGTTAACTGTGGCTCCATGTCAAGTGGACTAAAGAAAGGAAGGGGAAAAAATTAAATCGCTGGAGAATTGTTTATTTCCATTTATACAACGTTTACATTCAATACAGGGTGCCATTTTACATTGTTTATTTATTTTTTTAGTATCAAGGCTGTAACATAAAGAAAGCCAGTTCTTACCACAAAGTTTGTGGCACAAACCATCTTTCAATCGCAAATATTGCAAAAAGGATTAATAGATCCTCATTGTGAACGTTTAAGACAAATAGCAACACTTAAAACAACTTCCGATCTGGAAAAACTAATGTGGCAAAGTGCAGAAACGAGTGCCCGGGCGGGATTCGATCCCCAGACTCCCGGGTGAGAGTCATACGCTCTAACCAGTCAGCCAAAGGAACATCTCCTTAGTCCAGTAGCCAGGGCGCATGATCAATCGGGACACTGTGGATGCTCACCACACTGCCAAATCTTCCTCCCTCTTTCCACAAGCACGTCCTCGTGCTTCCGCGCAGGGTGCCACAAACACTGCCACACTAATATCCGCGATAAACATCTATTTAAGTACCGGAAGAGGTTATCTTTGCTTTCTGAATGTCCATATTGCTAGATATGCTGAGTTTTAGGGCGAAATCCTGGGGAATTTTGTCTAGAAATGCAATTACCTCACCGTGCGCGATCCCGCGGTGGCTAATCATTTTTTGGCAGCGAGTGAATTTATGGCACAACACCGGCTCGGGTTTCTCCTCCTCCTCCCTCTTTTCTTCTCCAACCTGTCGCTGGGCTGAGGCTCCATCACTTCCTAAATTGATTTTACTTGAACCTTCACTACCAAACAACTGTGAGATTTTAACACATGTGCCAGCATCAGCCTGAAGGGCCAGTTTCTTTTTTAGTCGAATTTTCTCCGCTCCTCCTTTCCGTTTTTTGTTCTCCATTTTGTTAAGCTCGTCTGTCTGTTTACTGAGATTCACAAACAACTGGCGGGTGCATCAGACCTCTGGCTATTGGTCCAGCCCAGAGTGTATTATTACCAATTGGCCAATCCACCAACTTTTACGAGGCGTCGCGTGGGGCGGCGCGGACAAGTTGTCCGCAACAACTAGAGGCCAGGAAAAAAAAAAAAAAAAAAAAACAGACACCGGCCCATAAAAGATGAAAGGGTCGGCCCAGCGGGCATTTGCCCGCTATGCCCTATGGTCAGTCCAGCGCTGCCCAGGGTACAACAAAGTGTTAATCTGGCCCTGCTTATATAGGTTATCACTATTAGCCAAAGTTTATCTGGGGATGATTTACTCTTTAATAATCCTGAGGGTGAGAATTTGTTCAACTCCGTAACGTCTATAATACCAACCCAACGGTTCCATTTTCCACATTCGGAACGTTTTTTCTCTCCAGCGGAACCTTCTGTCTGGCCGCTGTCGTGGCGGAAGCTAAACACTTCCTGGGCCGCCGGATATGAACCGGGAGCGGACATGCTGTATGGTTTCCACCGTCACCGACATGCGGCTGACTTCTGGCGGATTCTCCGCGGCTCCGTGATGATCTAAGGAGAGAGAAACCACCGCATGAGTCAGCTTTCCTGAAGGTGAGCTGCGTGCTTTGTGTTCGAGAAGAAGAGGACCTGTTACCCGCCGTTAGTGCTGATGTGTACGTGATCGGTGATCCGCCGTCAGCGAAACCGGGCCGAGTTAAACCGGGATACAACACAACTAACACAAAAGCACATGCACATTTTCTCCGACCAGATCCACGGCCTATCAGAACCTCCAGGTGGCTGGACCGCGCTGGGCCGCCTGGATCGGATCCTCCTGCAGCGGGAGCTAGCTGCTAGTGCAGCTGGTAGGTCCGGTGATTTCTGGGATATTGTGATTGTTTGTCCGGTGGAGAGAGAGCTCAAGTCCGCAGACTGACTGCTGAAGTCACCGGTGGAAGTCGGTCTTAACGTGAATCAGAACCGTTGTCTGGGTGTCGTGTTGCATCAGAAAGCTGTCCACGCGCTTCGTTTGTCACCCAGCTGTGGCTGAATACGGCTCGTACGTCAACGTTCACCCGCTTATCCGGTCCGGGTCATGGGGCAGCAGCGAGGCTCAACCCGCCCTCTCCCCAGCAGCCTCAGCTCCGTCGGGGGAATCCCAGGTGTTCCCATGCCCACAGGGACAATCCCTCCATCAGGTCCTGGGGGGCCTCCTGCCTGGGCATGAAACCCCTCTCCAGGGGGCCTCCTGACCAGATGTCCAAACCACCTCAGTTGGCCCCTTGATGTAGAGGAGCAGCGGCGGCTACGCACTGCAGGGATCCATCACTAACTACATTCAGAGGTTAACCCTTCATACCCGTCAGAGGTCAGGGGTCGACCGGGTGTTGCAGGAACTTCCTGCGTTTATCTTCGCTGTTTGGAGCTTCAGCCACCAGATGTTTACAAATGTATGAAAACAACTTTTTTTAAGAGACGATCAGAAAAACATCTGGAATGTCCAGGTTCTGGTCGGCAGTAAAGACAAAGACAGAACAATCTTTTATATCGTGCCACTAATCCCTTCACAAGGTTGTCTTTGGTTTGAACAGTTTGAATATTGTAAATGTTTGGTTCTGGTCATTTAGCACTTCTCAGACTGGGTCCAGGAAGCACAGGGTTTCTAACTACAGACTTTCCTCTGAGCAGATGACACATGTTTGTCCAACAACAGCACCAAGAACTGGACCTTTCTCGGACTGGAGTTAACCTACAAATGGCCTGCCAGTCTGCTGGAGCAGTCATGGACGAGCAGGCTCTACTGGGGCTTAACCCGAACGCTGACGCCTCATACAGGCAGCGGGTGAGTCTCCTCGGCCTTGTGCTGCTCCTGCAGCAATGCTGTGCTCCAGCAGGGGGCGCTGCTCCTGCTTCAGCAACACCAGCAGAGTGCTGAACCAATGTGGATTTTATTTGTGTGTGTGTGTGTGTGTGTGTGTGTGTGTGTGTGTGTGTGTGCGCGCGCGCGCAGGCCCTGGCTTACTTTGAGCAACTCAAGGATTCTCAGAATGCCTGGGAGGTGTGTGCTGATGTCCTCGCCAAAGGGCTTTACAGGTGAGCATCACTTCCTGTCTAGATAACTTCCTGTTCAGGTGTCCAACCAGTTAACGAGATTGCCTGTGTTTCAGTGACGACCACGTCAAGTTCTTCTGCTTCCAAGTGTTAGAACATCAGGTGAAGTTCAGGTGAGGAAGGGGAGGAACCTGTTTCTTTACTAGTTTCTTTTCTAAACCCGGCTTGTGTGGTTCAAACCTGGCTTGTGTGGTTCAAACCCGGCTTGTGTGGTTCTAAACCCGGCTTGTGTGGTTCTAAACCGGCTTGTGTGGTTCAAACCCGGCTTGTGTGGTTCTAAACCCGGCTTGTGTGGTTCTAAACCGGCTTGTGTGGTTCTAAACCCAGCTTGTGTGGTTCAAACCCGGCTTGTGTGGTTCTAAACCCGGCTTGTGTGGTTCTAAACCGGCTTGTGTGGTTCTAAACCCGGCTTGTGTGGTTCTAAACCCGGCTTGTGTGGTTCTAAACCGGTTTGTGTGGTTCAAACCCGGCTTGTGTGGTTCAAACCCGGCTTGTGTGGTTCTAAACCCGGCTCGTGTGGTTCTAAACCGGCTCGTGTGGTTCAAACCCGGCTCGTGTGGTTCTAAACCCGGCTCGTGTGGTTCTAAACCGGCTCGTGTGGTTCAAACCCGGCTCGTGTGGTTCAAACCCGGCTCGTGTGGTTCTAAACCGGCTCGTGTGGTTCTAAACCCGGCTTGTGTGGTTCTAAACCGGCTTGTGTGGTTCTAAACCGGTTTGTGTGGTTCAAACCCGGCTTGTGTGGTTCAAACCCGGCTTGTGTGGTTCTAAACCGGCTTGTGTGGTTCTAAACCGGCTTGTGTGGTTCTAAACCCGGCTTGTGTGGTTCAAACCCGGCTTGTGTGGTTCTAAACCGGCTTGTGTGGTTCTAAACCCGGCTTGTGTGGTTCTAAACCCGGCTTGTGTGGTTCTAAACCGGCTTGTGTGGTTCTAAACCGGTTTGTGTGGTTCAAACCCGGCTTGTGTGGTTCAAACCCGGCTTGTGTGGTTCTAAACCCGGCTCGTGTGGTTCTAAACCGGCTCGTGTGGTTCAAACCCGGCTCGTGTGGTTCTAAACCCGGCTCGTGTGGTTCTAAACCGGCTCGTGTGGTTCAAACCCGGCTCGTGTGGTTCAAACCCGGCTCGTGTGGTTCTAAACCGGCTCGTGTGGTTCAAACTCGGCTCGTGTGGTTCTAAACCCGGCTCGTGTGGTTCTAAACCCGGCTCGTGTGGTTCTAAACCCGGCTCGTGTGGTTCTAAACCGGCTTGTGTGGTTCAAACCCTGCTCGTGTGGTTCTAAACCCGGCTTGTGTGGTTCTAAACCGGCTTGTGTGGTTCTAAACCGGCTTGTGTGGTTCTAAACCCGGCTTGTGTGGTTCTAAACCCGGCTTGTGTGGTTCTAAACCGGCTCGTGTGGTTCTAAACCCGGCTTGTGTGGTTCTAAACCGGCTCGTGTGGTTCTAAACCGGCTCGTGTGGTTCTAAACCGGCTCGTGTGGTTCTAAACCGGCTCGTGTGGTTCAAACCCGGCTCGTGTGGTTCTAAACCCGGCTCGTGTGGTTCTAAACCCGGCTCGTGTGGTTCAAACCCGGCTCGTGTGGTTCTAAACCGGCTCGTGTGGTTCTAAACCCTGCTTGTGTGGTTCAAACCCGGCTCGTGTGGTTCTAAACCCGGCTCGTGTGGTTCTAAACCCGGCTCGTGTGGTTCTAAACCCGGCTTGTGTGGTTCTAAACCCGGCTTGTGTGGTTCTAAACCCTGCTTGTGTGGTTCTAAACCGGCTTGTGTGGTTCTAAACCCTGCTTGTGTGGTTCTAAACCGGCTCGTGTGGTTCTAAACCGGCTCGTGTGGTTCTAAACCGGCTCGTGTGGTTCAAACCCGGCTCGTGTGGTTCAAACACGGCTCGTGTGGTTCTAAACCGGCTCGTGTGGTTCTAAACCGGCTTGTGTGGTTCTAAACCCGGCTTGTGTGGTTCTAAACCCGGCTTGTGTGGTTCTAAACCCGGCTTGTGTGGTTCTAAACCGGCTTGTGTGGTTCAAACCCGGCTCGTGTGGTTCAAACCCGGCTCGTGTGGTTCAAACCCGGCTCGTGTGGTTCAAACCCGGCTCGTGTGGTTCTAAACCCGGCTTGTGTGGTTCTAAACCCTGCTTGTGTGGTTCTAAACCCTGCTTGTGTGGTTCTAAACCGGCTCGTGTGGTTCTAAACCGGCTCGTGTGGTTCAAACCCGGCTCGTGTGGTTCAAACCCGGCTCGTGTGGTTCAAACCCGGCTCGTGTGGTTCTAAACCGGCTCGTGTGGTTCTAAACCGGCTTGTGTGGTTCAAACCCGGCTTGTGTGGTTCTAAACCGGCTTGTGTGGTTCAAACCCGGCTTGTGTGGTTCAAACCCGGCTTGTGTGGTTCTAAACCGGCTTGTGTGGTTCTAAACCGGCTTGTGTGGTTCTAAACCGGCTTGTGTGGTTGGGGCTGCAGCTATCGAATATTTTTGTAATCGAGTACTCTATCGGATCTTTTATCGATGAATCGAGTACTCTAATAAATGATCCTTTTGTGTTTGTAGACCATTATATCAAATAGCATGTTATAAAATATGAAAGACCTCTTAAAAACGAGGCTGAAGTTAGCTTCCGATTCGGGAAACGGCTAACGGGCCAATTAGGGCTGGGGGTAAACGATTATTTTTAAAACGATTATTCTGACGATTATTTTATCGAATAGTCGACTATTCTAATGACTATTTAGAAAATTAATCTAATGATTATTTTTCTATTGCACAATTAACAAAAACCAGAAAATCTCAAATAAATTCCTCAAAAAAATTGATAAATTGTTACTGTAAGAGAATAAACACTACAGGCCTTCCATTTTGTATAACACTGCGTTTATTGTGTTGGTTGGTTATGTTCTGGTGACGTGTAGAACTTGGGAGTGCAGGCTGCTGCCTGAGAGGTGGTAGAAGATGGAGTGTCTCCATGCTGCTTTGTTTTGGTCACTTATGTGCGTGAGGCGAGTGGTGTTACGGGTTAAACCAAACTCAGGTGATATTTTACACTAAACCGAAAACCCACAACACTCTAAATGTAATAAAAGGGAGATCTACACCACAAAAAAGATGAACTCTAAACCAAAACGTAACAGCTTATCCCAACGCAAGAAGCTGTTAGCGAAGATGCTAACAGTAGCTTTACCAACATTAAGTTCAAGTTACCAAGTTTAAATAAACCAAAAACACCCAGCAGCAAACAGACCAGCATGGATGAGAGACTGCTACCACCAAAACAGCTCTCCTCATGTCTGAAAGAAGCTCCTTAATGAAGGGAGAAGCGCTCCCGGTGATTTTCTACATCTGCGATAGACACGGAGCAGCGCATCTGACCCCGGAAGTTGTTGTCCGTTGCCGGGAGACGAAGGGGCAAAACAGGAAAATAATCTAGTAGTGGACGGACGTTGTTCCGGGTCTTCGGTATTTGGCGGAGATGTTAGTGAAGGCGGAGAAGAGGGCGAACTAGAGGAAAAACAGGCAGATTCCTCCTCTATTTACAAACTCCTGGGGATGCAACAAGTGGGCGCGGTGCGTCGACTTCCGGATCTGACGTCGACAAATTTTTAGAATCGAGCCGTCGACTTCGTCGAGGCTTCGCTACAGCCCTAGGGCCAATACACCCAGTTATTCTTCAAGTTTTATTCAAAATTAGTTTTTGAAACTTCAGCTCTTCAACTTTACTTCACAGTAAACAAAAGCCTGTGCAAAAAACAAGTAAACAACCTGAGCCGATTTCCCCCTGGTGCGAGAATCTGCTAGCCTGCAAGCCAGACAAAAACTAGGATAACTGTTGAAGTAGCGCTGCGAGCGGCTGCGGCCCAAACAGAACCAGAACCGCTCACGGTGCATGCACAAACATGGCTCAGCAGCTGTTTCCCTATTAACACACATCCGTTTTAATTTCTACACTTTATTTTCTCACACGATAACAAGGATTGTCGAGAAAGCATGTTTGCCGTGGTTTTGTCAAATTATACTGATCACAAAACATTTATTTACTTTCTTTCATTTTCCTCATAAATACCCGCGTCCTCCTGCAGCGACCCCGAGGGACAACAGACGTCAATAACAACACAATAAAAAGTCCCACGGGTTGTGTAAAAACTGCTATTTTTAGCAAATGTTTAGGTCCGACGTGTTGCTACCATCGACATATAAATATTGGACAATGGGTTTCCATAGGCTCCAATAACACGTTTTTTAAGACAAATGGGAGGTGGCCACCACCGCCATTTTGACCGTGTCACAGGTTCCGTCAAGCCCAGACAATTCCACAAAAGGGAAGAGAGGTGGAGCTGAGGGTGGGGCTGTAAGGCTGGGATCAACTGACGACACCCGGTCGAACTAGCTACAAGCTAACCTGAAGCTAACCTGAAGCTAACGCTAAGGTGGGAGCTAAGCTAACGGAGGTAGCAACCTAGCTACAACCAGAGTTAACTGTGCACAACACCAGAGCTTCTGAGTCAGAGATGCGCCGGGCTGACCGCTGGGGAGAACCGGGTGGAACACAGAGGTCTCGGAGAGCTCCACAAGCCGATAGTGGGAACCCAGCTCCACCAACATGTTATATTTCAACCCATTTTCTAAAGTGCAGCATTATGTTAAATGCACTGGGTTTTACCCTATTACATTTAAATGTCATGGTTAAACAGTACATGTTAAAATCTAAGCTCAGCTCAGCAGTGACCTAAAATACATAAATATAATTTTACTTACCGAAAAGAATGAAGTGTAGACTCCTTGGACGCTCTATTAGTGCAATTAATGCCACAGCAAGTCATTTTGTCCAACAATTGCACAAATAATATCCAAACAAGAATACACACACACAGAGACTCAAAATCCCGGAACAGTTTCCAGGCCAGACCGAGGCTCTACTGAGGCCTTTCCACGGAGCTAGCTCTGTGGTCACATGGGTCTGATGCTCATTAATTATACAGAATTTTAGGCTTTTAATACACTTAAACAGAAGAGTGAGAAAAACATTCACCCCCCTCAGAGTTGTCATGAGTGTAAACTAGATCATTTAAACCTAAAACATGTTCTGGTACCAGGCTGTAAACATGTTTATTTCTGCTGTGAAATTGGTATTTTTAACATGGGAGTCCATGAGGATTTGCTCGCTTCTGACACCAGCCCCTAGTGGACGAGGGTGGAACTGCAATTTTTGGTACTTCCGGGTTTGACTCCATTTTAGAGCTCCATTGTGCGGGCTTGGACAGAAGCCTGCCCTCCTCCCAATGATTGGACAGGAATTCGAGAAACATGATTGGTAGCTAAGACTCGTGCTCTCATTGGTTCCACCCAAGTTCCTCCCACCGACGCTAGAATCGAGACAAAAAGATCTGTAACTGTAGGATTTGAGGTTTGTTTCTGTAGAATGAAATGTGTGTTTTGAGAGGTTTGATTTCAAACTTGTACCTTGATTTTTTCAATTTGGAAGTCTGCTAGTTACAAAACAAAAGTTTCATGTTTCTGAATGAATGTTTGATGTTACAAAATAAAAAATACATGTACAAATTTAGAATTACAAGCTAGAAAACTAAAGTTACATGTCATGAAACATGTTCCAGGTTACAAGACTTGGTACAAGTTACGCTGAATATTGTCCCAATCCTAGCTCCATACTTGTGTGGTTCAAACCCAGCTTGTGTGGTTCTAATCGGGCTTGTGTGGTTCTAACCCGGCTCGTGTGGTTCTGATCGGGCTTGTGTTGTGTTGCAGACATGCTGCCCTGAGTGCAGCTCAGCAGCAGCTGATCAGAGAGACGCTGATGACGTGGCTCCAGTCTCAGGTAAAAGGCCTCATTCACCTGTTTTATCTGGTCTAGACGTGATGGACCCGAGTCCTCTCACACACAGGTTCAGTGACAACACCTGGGGGGGGTTTGAGCATCGGGGATCTTCTAATTCATCCCTGCTCGAAAAAACGCTCCACTCCCACAGGATTCTAGGATTCAGTCTCCTAGAGCGCAGAGTTAAAATGTTTCCATGGCAACGCCGGAAGTCTGCTTCAGCTCTTGTTTCTCCACATATTTTATTAAAGTTTCATCATTTATGTCGTTTTCATGTTCTGCTCCAGAGTCTGGATGTTTTTAGACGGGAGGAGCTGAGTTTCAACAGCATACGTTCATGGTGGTCATGTGACCCTAAAGTTAACTGTCACAAATACACAGTTAGCTCATGTATTACACCCCCAGGAAAAGCATCACGCGTGGCATTTAAATCAAATGTTAGCATGTTTGACACGTGTGACCAGAGAACATGTGTATGCACAGCAGTAGTATGCTACATGTGTTATGTTAGCAGCTGTAAGCTAGTTCGAGGCTATTAAACATAACGAGGACAGCGTGTTAATGATACGGGCCCATCCCAGACCAAAGCTGATTTATATTTATTAATGATGCTGACATCGGCTGCAAATGAAGATTAAACACAACAAAGATGTAAATCCAGCTACAGCTCATGTTTAAACGCAACATTTAGTCATAATTTAGCCATCAGGAACAACGCTGCTGCTACCGCCGTGGGCCAGCGGGGGCGCTCATTCACCACCTCGTAGCTGCCAGCTACTGACGGGGAAAAGGTGACGTCACTTGCCTCGTCCAATCATATTCACAAAGCGTCAGTAAGCCTAGCTGCTAGCCTGCCTCGGAGCAGGTTTGTTACCATGGTGACTGGGAGGCTAGCCACGGTCGGAGAGCCGAGTTAGGGACGGTTACACCGGGAAACACCTCGCTGTCTGGAATACCCCCCAGGTGTATTTGTTACAAAGTCTGAACACATCAGAAGATCTGTGTCACATCTAAACGGGTCCGGGTGGAAAGCAGAGATCAGCATCGACAGTTCTGTCTCTGTGACTCTGACTCTTTATTCATCTAAGAAGACTAGTTTGTAACTAGAATGGTTTTATTTTATTTCTAGTTTGGTCCATTTGATCGTTTTTATGTTCTGTTCTTATTAAGAAGTCTCTCGTGGTTTATTTCCTGTTGAGATGTTTTTACCCGGAGTTGTAGAAACCAAGGGAAAGTCCAGGTTTTACCTGCCTGATGTTCGTGTCCCCGTCGTTCTGCAGCTGATGAACGCTCAGCAGGAGAAGTCCTTCATCAGGAACAAGGCAGCTCAGGTGTTCGCCCTCACCTTCATCATGGAGTACCTGACTCTCTGGCCCAAGTTCTTCTTTGACATTCTGTCCCTGGTGGGTCTGAACCCGCATGGCATCGACATCTACCTGAGGACGCTGATGGCGATCGACGCTGAAGTGGTGGACAGGGACATCCTGCACACACCAGAGGTGAGCAGCACAGGGAGGTCAGGAGTACGTTTCATGGATTATTTGGTTTTCCAGAGACGTTCCTGGTTAAAGATGGCTTCCTCCAGGGCTTAGCACAGGCTAATAATTTGGTTCTTGGAGGTTCCAGGTCTGGAGAAGGAACCAAAACCACAAAACCTTATTTGACTGACATCCGTAGCCGTGAGTACGTCACGTTTGTTATCCAATAGCGTGCAGAAACCGTAGGTCCCGCCCCACGACCGACAGCCGTCAGTGGCCCGTGGCCCGGCTACATGTTCACATGGAGCAGCTGTCAAGGTGCATCAGCCCGCCCACAGAGCGTTGTGATCGGGTCGCTACGGAGCCGTTGCCGTGTTTGTTTTATTCAGTTGCACTAACATCCCACCCACCTAGCTGATGGAGCGCTGTGATTGGACCTCTGTGGATGTCAGTCAATGGGGCAGTCCACCAGAAACAGAAGACCTGACCTGGTTTTTCTGAATAAACCCGCCGTGACCGGCCAGAAACTCGAGTTTCAGCATCTTACCCAAGAGAGATCTCGTTCAGCCCTCGTTTGTAGTAAATGTGTTTTATGGTTTGTTTGAAAATGTGTCACAAAACTCTGTTTGTTTCTTTTTTATAAACAAATATTTAGTAATGATGCATCTTTGTTTACTAATATTGAGAGAGACGATTTCAAACTGAGTATTTTGGTATTTTCAGCATTTATTGTTACTAAAACATTTATCAGTGTATCATGGAAAACTCACGTCAGCGACACGGTCCCACCCACCCCCCCACCCCCCCTGGCGACACACATCAATGACACGGTCCTCACATACACCCCCCCCCACCCCCCAACGACGCACATCAGCAACCCCCCCCCCCCCCAACGACACACATCAGCGACACGGTCCTCACACACACACACACCCCCATCTCCCCCAACGACGCACCCCCCCCACCCCCCCTGGCGACACACATCAACGACACGGTCCTCACACAACCCCCCACCCCCCTGGCGACGCACGGCAGCAACCCCCCCCCTCCCCCCAACGACACACATCAGCACCCTCCCCCAACGACACACATCAGCGACCCCCCCACCCCCCAACGACACACATCAGCAACCCCCCCCCCCAACGACACACATCAGCGACCCCCCCCAACGACAAACATCAGCGACCCCACCCCCCACCCCCCAACGACACACATCAGCGACCCCCACCCCCCAACGAGATACATCAGCGACCCCCCCCCCACCCCCCAACGACACACATCAGCGACCCCCCCCCCCCCCCACCCCCCAACGACACACATCAGCAACCCCCACCCCCCAACCAACCAATCAATCAAAGCTTTATTTATAAAGCGCCTTCCGCAACCCTGTCAGGAAGCCCAAAGCGCTGAACATGGTACAGTTGTAAGTAATTATATTGAATAAATCAACAATAAAAGAAATTCAAATTACAAAATACAAATTACAAAATACAAATTACAAAATACAAAATGGAAATTACAAGATAGAAGAAACATTCCGGTAAAATCCAAATGTGTGAAACACATTTGGACTGAGTGGATGGATTGAGTGTACCAATGAAAACTGTGGAATGGATTCAACATAAAGGAGGGCCAAAATCAAACATGTTCTGGAAACGCCAAGCGGAGGAGGTGTGTTTTTAGGTGATTCTTAAAGACTGGCAGAGAAGGGGACAGCCTGACTGAGGGTGGCAACTGGTTCCAGAGTGACGGTGCTAGGACTGAGAAAGCCCGGTCCCCACGGGTACGACACCTAGACCGAGGGACAGCGAGCAGGCCTTGGTCAGAGGAGCGCAGAGCGCGTGATGGGGAGTGTCTGTTCAGGAGAGTGGCCAGATAGGGGGGAGCACCACCCTGGAAGAAATGATAAACAAAGACGAGGATTTTGAATTGTGAGCGATAGCAAATCGGAAGCCAGTGCAGGGAGGCCAGAACTGGGCTAATGTGGTCCAGTTTCCTGGTCCCAGTCAGGAACCTGGCAGCGCTGTTCTGCACAACCTGTAGGCGATGCAGTGTTGACTGACACAACCCTGCATATAGAGAGTTGCAGTAGTCAAGCCGAGAAATAACAAAGGCATGCAGTACCCGCTCCAGGTGGGCTCTCGACAGCATATGCTTGATTTTAGCAAGGCGTCTCAGGTGAAAGAAACTGGACCGGATCACAGAATTGATGTGAGCATCAAATTTAAGTCCAGCATCAAGTTTCACCCCCAAACTGGTAACAACTGGTTTTGAGTATGGAGAAAGAGGGCCAAGATCAACATGACGATCCACATTCCTGCTGTTGGGGTGAAAAACAATGAGCTCTGTCTTTCCCTCATTCAGATGTAGATAGTTGGACATTAGCCAAGACTTCACCTCATTAACACAGGAGACAAAGGACTGAATAGAGTGACCTTTCTCCTGACACAATGGAGAGTAAATCTGGCAATCGTCAGCATACAGATGGAATGATAGGCCATGTTTACGAAAGATTGACCCCAGAGGTAGCAGATAAATGGCAAACAAAAGAGGACCAAGGATCGACCCCTGTGGGACCCCCCAGCGGAGCCCCTCCCAAGAAGAAAAAACATCACCCAGTTTAACACAGAATGTCCTGTTTTGGAGATACGATCTAAACCAATCCAGAGCTGACCCTTTGATCCCAACCCATCGTTCCAAGCGATCGAGTAGAATCGCGTGGTCAACTGTGTCGAAGGCTGCCGTCAGATCTAATAACAGAAGCAGCACAGATGTTCCCTGATCTAGTGATAGGTAGATGTCATTTAGGACCCTCAGTAGAGCAGACTCTGTGCTATGGCCGGACCTGAACCCTGGTTGGAAAACCTCAAACAGATCAGAGTCAGCTAAATGTGAGACCAGCTGCTGATAAACGACTTTCTCAAGCAGTTTAGATGTAAAGGGCAGGGTAGAGATAGGCCTGTAATTTTCTATCACAGAGACATCAGCACCAGGTTTCTTCAGGGTCGGCTGAACAACTGCGGCTTTCAAAGCAGCTGGGACAACACCTGTGCTTAGGCTCCCATTGATAATCTGACCAAGTGAAGGGCCAAGACACGGAAAGGCAGCCTTCCAGAGACGAGGTGGCAGAACATCAAGTGGAGAGCCAGATGGCTTCTGCCTCGCAACTAGCTTACTCAGCTCAGAGTATGAAACTGTATTGAGGGAGCTCAGGGTGGGTGGTGATGGAGGAACTGGAACAGGGTCAACAGAGTTACCTGAAATGACTGCTCTAATGCCTGATACTTTATCAACAAAGAATTTGAGAAAAGCTTCAGAGTTTCCAGCAGCTGTAGGAGACATGGAGCTAGACTCCTGATACACCAGAACAGAGTTTAGTGTTTTGTAGAGAATCTGAGGATTATTGGAGTTTGTCTCAATGATGTCTGCAAAGTAGGCCGTTCTGGCAGCCCTCACTGCATCCTGATAAGCAACTAGAGATGCTCTGAACAACTCACGCGAGACCTGTAGGCCATCCTTTTTCCACTTTCTCTCCGAGGATCTACACGCCCGCCTGCAAGCCCGTGTGACATCAGAGAGCCATGGCTCCCTCCTAGGCCGAGACTTGCACAGTTTGAGAGGGGCAACCACGTCCAGGACCTGATTACAAAGCACATCAAAGTGTTGTGAATAGTGTTCAGTGTTAGATGGATCTGGGCTAAAGGTCTCTAACCTTACGGACATACAGTCCACAAACTTTGAAATAGTTTCTGCATCCAGGGCTCTGAACCTAGTAGCTGGAGCTTCACACACAGGGAGAGGACATGGCAACGTAACATCACAGAGTATAGGAGAGTGGTCAGAGAACACCGGAGGCAAAGTCACAAGGTTCATGATGGGTAGACCATAACAGATAACCAGGTCCAGGGTGTGACCCCTGGCATGAGTTGGGGATGATACCCATTGAGTTAGATTAAATGAATCTAGCAAATAAAAAAACCTTTAGCAAGCACATTGTCAGGACAGCAGATATGGATGTTAAAATCACCAAAAAATAGGACATAGTCATATTTTAGGATGCAGTCTGCCACAAGATCACTGAAATCATTAAGGAAGTTAGAGTCAGCCTTTGGAGGGCGATAAATCAGCACAACGAGCAGGCGGGGGGAGATGCACAGCTCAAATAAGCACAGTTCAAAGGAAGAAAATGACATGGTGGGTGTGAGCTGTTTACAAGGAAAGCTGGATTTAAAAACAACAACCAGCCCTCCACCTGTGCCCCGTGGTCTGGGGGTATTAAAACACGAGCAGCCAGGTGGTATGAGCTCGAGTAGGGAACTTGTGTCGCCAAACGGGATCCAGGACTCACAGATGCAGAGAAAACCCAGGTCATGCTGAATAAAAAAGTCACGAAGAATAAAAGTTTTGTTCAGCACAGACCTGGCATTGACCAAACCAAACCGGGTCTGCAGCGGGGCTGCAGCACCAAGATCGCGCACGGACCCAGTCCCCTCTAACTCTGTGCCCGTAACCGAGCGCAGATTCTCCCAGCAAACCCCAGTCTGGCGTGATCTTCGAGCCGATCGGCCGTGGCGCGGTGCCGATACACCATCAGAGCCGGCCGAGTTCCCTGGGAAGGGCGCCGAGTAATCCAGGAGACATCTCGGAACCATCGGGTCAGAAGCTGGGCCAGATCGGGCCAGCCGCTTGTTCAGGGATCCAGGCCGACATCTCACGCGCCGGCTACCTACGACACACATCAGCAACCCCCCCCCCCCAACGACACACATCAGCGACCCCCCCCCCAACGACACACATCAGCGACCCCCACCCCCCAACGACACACATCAGCAACCCCCCCCCCCCCAACGACACACATCAGCGACCCCCCCCCAACGACACACATCAGCGACCCCCACCCCCCAACGACACACATCAGCGACCCCCCCCCCCAACGACACACATCAGCGACCCCCCCCCCCACAACCACCCCCCAACGACACACATCAGCGACCCCCCCCCCCCCCCCAACGACACACATCAGCGACCCCCCCCCCACAACCACCCCCCAACGACACACATCAGCGACCCCCCCCCCCCAACGACACACATCAGCGACCCCCCCCCCCACAACCACCCCCCAACGACACACATCAGCGACCCCCCCCCCACCCCCAACGACACACATCAGCAACCCCCCCCCCCAACGACACACATCAGCGACCCCCCCCCCCAACGAAACACATCAGCGACCCCCCCCCACCACCACCACCCCCCAACGACACACATCAGCGACCCCCCCCCCCCCAACGACACACATCAGCGACCCCCCCCCCCAACGACACACATCAGCGACCCCCCCCCCCCCCAACGACACACATCAGCGACCCCCCCCCCCACAACCACCCCCCAACGACACACATCAGCGACCCCCCCCCCCAACGACACACATCAGCGACCCCCCCCCCCAACGACACACATCAGCAACCCCCCCCCCCCCCAACGACACACATCAGCGACCCCCCCCCAACGACACACATCAGCAACCCCCCCCCCCCCCCCCAACGACACACATCAGCGACCCCCCCCCCCACAACCACCCCCCAACGACACACATCAGCGACCCCCCCCCCCCCCCCACCACCCCCCAACGACACACATCAGCAACCCCCCCCCCCCAACGACGCACATCAGCGACACGGTCCTCACCCCCCCCCCCCCCCCCCCCCCCCCCAACAACGCACATCGGCACCCCCCCCCCCCCCGGGCGACGCACATCAGCGAAACCCTCGCTCTGGTGTGGAAGCTAGCTCTTCTTTGCAGATTGGCCCTCGCAGCTTTACATCGCGGTCTTGGGTCTGTGGTGTGTTCAGTGACTTGGACAGGTTCATGTTAAACGATGCGGTGCGAGTCGTGACTTGTTGCTGCCGTGTCCTCCAGGAGACTCGTAGAAACACTCTGATTAAAGACACCATGAGGGAGCAGTGCATCCCGAGCCTGGTGGAGTCCTGGTTCCAGATCCTGACCACATACCAGCGCTCCCAGCCGGAGCTCACCTGTCAGTGTCTGGAGGTGGTGGGGGCGTACGTGTCATGGATCGACTTGAACTTCATTGCCAACGACCGGTCAGTGGGCCCGATGGGGAAGACCCTGGTTCTGAAACGGCCGGTCGCATTAATCCAGCCTGTAATCTGTCAGGTTTGTGAACGTGCTGCTGAGTCAGATGTCCATGGAGGAGCTCCGAGAGGAGGCCTGCGACTGCCTGTTCGAAATCATCAACAAGGGAATGGACCCGGTGGACAAAACCAAGCTGGTGGAGTCTCTGTGCCGAGTTCTGCAGTCGGCCGGGTTCTTCAATGTGGAGCAGGTAGGAGACCCCGCTCATCAGACAGTCTAGCAGTCTAAACCCGTTCAAACGTGGACTCGGTAAACCGACAGGTCAGCAGGTCATCAACAGGTGAACTACGTCTTTTCTCAGGAGGAGGATGTGGACTTCCTGGCAAAGTTCTCACGACTGGTGAACGGAATGGGTCAGAGTCTGGTTCTGAGCTGGACCAAACTGGTGAAAGCCGGAAATGTGAAGGAGGCCACGGAGACTCTGCAGGCGGTCGAGGCCAAAGTGCCGCTGTTGCTGCAGCTGCTGGTCCATGAAGACGACGACATCTCTTCCAACATCGTGGGCTTCTGCTACGACTACCTGAACGTCCTCAAACAGGTGAGTCTCCTGGCCAGCGGCGCCGCTCAGCAGCAGTTTGGGTTTGAGATGAGGCTGAACCGGGTGTTTCTATTTGACAGCTTCCTCAGCTGACCGAGCAGCAGAAGGCAAACATCGAGGTGAGTAGACGAGTGGAGGCCACATCATCTGGTTTCTGCTCCTCACCAGAGCTCAACTTCTCTCTCTCTGTGAAGGCTGTCATGCTAGCTGTGATGAAGAAACTGACCTACGACGACGAGTACAACTTTGAAAATGAGGTGAGGTTTTGTGTTATACTTTCCACACTCTACTACTTTCTTCTACTATCTGCTCTTTAACTGTATTACTTCCTGCTATTTCAGCTGTTAACTTTATTTTCTCTCTAAGTGTTTTTCTCCCCAGAAGAAGCTACAACGACGTTCTGCTGAGCTGTGGTGGCCTCATGGAGGGGGCCATCGATTAGCACACTGCTGCTAACCACTTAAACATTCTCCCTCTCCTGATAATAACTTTTTGCTTTCCTTGACGTTGGATGTGCTACTACTAGTTTACCCGTTTAATTATAGATCCACTAGGATAAATACAATAAAGTTTATCTCTCACCTAATAGAATATTTACTAAGAAATCACAATAGAACTATAGACACATTACTTGGTGTGTGTGTGTGCGCGCTCTATCTTCTCCATCCTCACTGAGTGCGTTTACAAGCAGCCAGTAACCCTTTTAAAACCCGAATATTCACAATAACCCGGTTCCGCAGGTCCATGTAAACACCGCCAAAAACCCGGATATGCTCATAAGCGGGTTTTTAAAAACCCGGTTACTACCCCTGGAGTAACCCTTTTCTAACCCGAATGTTTGGTCGTGTAACGCATACCGGGATATCCCCATCAAAGCGTGTGTTCTGCGCATGCTCTGTTCACAAGGAATCTTGGTCTTTTGAGTAGCGAGACGTCTTGTATGCGCCAGAACTCCGGAAGTAAACAACAAGTTGGGAGCAACATGGCGAGTCGCGGCACAGCACCACACTTTCGGAGTGACGAGGAAACCTCTGTCTTCATCGGTCTGGTGATGAGTACGAACATTAGGTCTTTTGTTGACGGCTGAAAGTACAGAGACAGCAAAATATACAAGAAGGTAACCGCATATTGCGTCTGGACGTAGTCCATACATCCTGACGCTACCCCAACGTCCGCATTTAAATCGGGTTATGCAAGTTACCCGAATCCCGACCTTAACCCGATCATAACCCGGATATTGGCTGCATGTAAATGTAGTCACTGAGTCGTGGAGGATGGCTGCTTATACTGAGCCAGGATCCTCTGGAGGTTTCTTCCTGTTAAAAGGGAGTTTTCCTCTCCACTGTCGCTATATGCTTGCTTAGTATGAGTATTGCTGTAAAGACTCTGACACTAGTCAGTGACTCGATGCGACCTGCTGGGTTCCTTATGTAGGAAACTTGTTGCTGATTGGCTTAATGACCTGACCTGTATTGTTTACTGTGTGCAGGTCCTCGAGACGACTCTGGTCCTGACTTGGTGCTTTATAAATAAACTTGAATGAGTCAGAAAAGGGCAGAAAGCCTTCTCCGGGTCAGGGACGAGGTCCTGCCCCAAGTGGAGGAGTTTAAGTATCTCGGGGTCTTGTTCACGAGTGAGGGAAAACTGGAGCGTGAGATCGATAGGTGGATTGGTGCTGCGTCTGCAGTGATGCGGGCGTTGTACCGGTCTGTCGTGGTGAAGAGAGAGCTGAGCCAGAAGGCGAAGCTCTCGATTTACCGGTGGATCTACGTTCCTACCCTCACCTATGGTCATGAGCTTTGGGTAGAGACCGAAAGAACGAGATCACGGATACGAGCGGCTGAAATGAGTTTTCTCCGAAGAGTGGCTGGGCTCTCCCTTAGAGATAGGGTGAGAAGCTCGGTCATCCGGGAGGGGCTCGGAGTAGACCCGCTGCTCCTCCACATTAAGAGGAGCGAGTTGAGGTGGCTCGGGCATCTGGTCAGGATGCCTCCTGGACGCCTCCCTGGTGAGGTTTTCCGGGCACGTCCAACCGGGAGGAGACCTAAAGGTAGACCCAGGACACGGTGGAGGGACTCTGTCTCTCACCTGGCCAGGGAATGCCTTGGGATTCCCCCGGAGGAGCTGGCCCAAGTGGCTGGGGAGAGGGAAGTCTGGGCCTCTCGCCTTAGGCTGCTGCCCCCGCGACCTGACTCTGGATAAGCGGATGAAAGTGGATGGATGGATGGATGGATGGAAAAGTTGAGTTGAATTAAATAGAAATCGGATCTAAACTAGCGGGTCTAAGACATATTAGACGCCACGCTTCCTTCTAACAACGTATTAAACATCGTTTTACACGTTTACCTCTTCACTCGTCGCCGGTGATGAAAGGAAATCTGATGTGCTCGTCTTTTTGCTGGAGGCTGAACGGTCTGAAGTAGTACTCATTAGAAAATAGAGATCCCAGGGATTTTTGGCCCTAATGGCCATCCGTTGGTAAAGTCTTACTCGAACATAAAAATACTGCTTGCTTCCAAGGATGTATGTATGTACTGCCCCCTATTGGCAGGGAAAATACACACCGTCACCTTCACATATAACTGCTGGATGTTTTCTGCATGTTTGCGGGTGAAGTACTTCTACTAGCTTGTAATACTTTCAAATCACAAAATGTCAGTATTTTATATGTGGTGACTAATGGGTTGCAGGGTCTCTGTGGTGATTACTGATTCTCAGGTATGCAGTGATACCACTTCTTTCCAAACTGAAACTTGAATCTGAGTACTCGCCGATTTCGATTAGCGATACTTCTACCACATAAAAAATGCAATGAAGTGGAAGACGGGCTTTGTTTTCTTCTCTGCTTTCAGCAGGAAAGACTGCAGCAGATAAAAAAGAACATATTATTAGAAATGATCACAAAACTAACAAATGACAAGTTACAGTGATGTGGGCATTTTTTCCTCTGATATAATCTACGTGGGACTTCCACGTGAGAGCGTTTTGCTGTCATCAGTACCAAGTAGCTTAGATACATTCACAAGATCATTAATACAGTATGAACAGTTGAGGTCCAAGCACCGACCCTTGTAGCGCTCCACAATGAATCTCCTGCCAGTCCCTGTTCTCTGATAACGTTTGCCTTGTGTGTGTCTCAGGGTGAGGATGAGGCCATGTTTGTGGAGTACAGGAAGCAGCTGAAGATGCTGTTGGACCGACTAGCTCAGGTATCTCCTGAACTGCTGCTGGAAGCTGTCCGCAGGATCTTCACCAACACCATGCAGTGAGTGCACGCTTTCATCGGTTCACAGACCAGCCAGGAAGCTGAACCACAACCGACGTCCTGCTGGAACCGTTACGATCAAACAGTCGAGTGTTTGGGACTTTAAAGAGCAAGTCACCCCCTACCAGAGTATTACTCCACTCCCACTTCCTGTTTGAAAAATGCAACAAATGCTGTTGCCTAGCAGACCGAGAGGGCGGAGCCGCTAACAAATACACACACACACAGGCTCACAACGACATTGTGACATCATATGGAACCAGCTAACGCTCTAGGGCACCTCTTAGCCAATAGCGATGGCAGATTTAAATTCAAATGCAGTGCAGAGTTTTTACCTGAAGAGGGCGCATCACTGACAGCTTTAGGCAGAACGTTAACATTTGAACTAAAAAGCACTAAAGTGCTAAAGTGTTGACGACACGTGTCTGCAGCACGACTACACACACATTTATATCGTTTATCAGGAAAAAAGGCTGATTTGGGGGTGACTTGCTCTTTAAGATCCCACAAATGTCTTCATATAGCGTTTTTGTCCTGATTGCTTATGTGGTGGCGATGACGATGACGACTCCCGGCCTTCCTCCTCAGGGCGTGGCAGACAACTTCCTTCATGGAAGTGGAGGTGGCCATCAGGCTGCTTTACATGCTCGGCGAAGCGCTGCCAGCGTCTCATGGCGCTCACTTCTCCGGCGACACGGCGAAGACGAGTGCTCTGCAGGACATGATGAGGACGGTGAGTCACATGACCCAACAGCTGATGTTGTGACAATGGGCGGTTCCTTACAGCCTGATGCGGTCTGCCTTCCCAGCTCGTGTCCTGCGGCGTTAGCGGCTACCAGCACTCCTCCGTGTCTCTGGAGTTCTTTGAAACGGTGGTGAGATACGATAAGTTCTTCATCGTGGAGCCTCAGCACATCCCTAACGTTCTGGTGAGCCTCCGCCTCGCTACGCCTGCAGCTCCTAACCAAGTGCAGGTGTTTAACCCGTGTTTGGTTTCAGATGGCGTTCCTGGACCAGAGAGGACTGAGACACAACAGCCCAAAGGTTCGGAGTCGCGTGGCGTACCTGTTCTCCAGGTTCATCAAGACGCTGCAGTGAGTTGCTGCTTCTGCTGTCAGAGCTTCTTTGTTGTCACACGGCTCTGAGCAGATGTTTCTGTTGGCAGTAAACACATGACCGCCTTCATCGAGGATGTCCTGACCAGGATCCAGGACCTGCTGGAGCTCATTCCTCCTGTAGGTACCTCCACCTTGTTGCCGTTTCCTCCTGGTGTCTCCGCTCCTCTCTGACATCAACCCTCTGTGCAGGAGAACGGCTTCCGGGCGCTGCTGACCAGCGATGACCAGCTCTTCATGTTTGAGGCTGCCGGCGTGCTGATTGTGAGCGGCGAGAGTCCCGTGGACCAAAAGCAGGCGCTGATGAGGAGCCTGCTGACGCCGCTGATGGATGCTTTCCGCCTGCTGCTCGCCAAACTGCTGCAGGAGACGGAGGAGGAGCGGCAGGTTGCCCTCGCCGACTGTCTGAGCCACGCTGTCGGCTTCGCCAGGTGGGACCGGCTCACGCAGCTCCAGCTTAGGTTTCACGGTGGTCCTGTCCGACCATGAGCAGAACCTCCACCTGCTGCTTCTCTGACCTCCGGTTCTGTTTCTGCAGCCGAACCAGTAAAGCGTTCAGCAACAAGCAGACGGTGAAGCAGTGCGGCTGCACCGAGGTCTACAGGGACTGTCTCCAGAGCTTCCTTCCTGCACTAAGCTGTCCGGTCCAGCGGGGGGTGCTGCGCAGCGCCGTGCGCTCCTTCCTGCACCGCATGATCATCTGCCTGGAGGAGGAGGTGTTGCCTTTCTTCCCTGCTGCCTCTGAGCACATGCTGAAGGACTGCGAGGCCAAAGACCTGCAGGAGTTCATCCCCCTCATCAGCCAGATCACAGCCAAGTTCAAGGTACGAACGGATCCTGAAGCAGGCTTTTTACCCAGCACCACCCAACTAACGAGCTCCTCCTGTTGCCATGGCAGCGGCAGGTGTCCCCCTTCCTGCAGCAGATCTTCATGCCACTGGTGCTTGCCATCTTCGAGGTTCTGGCGAGGCCAGCCGAGGAGAACGACCAGACGGCGGCGCTGGAGAAGCAGATGCTGAGGAGGAGCTACTTCGGCTTCATCCAGGCCATCACAGGAAGTGGAATGAACGAGGTGATGGCCAATCAGGGTGAGCTGCCGCGCTAGCATTTCTGTAGGACATCTCAAAGTCCTAGGTCGGGTTCTACCGAGAACCAGCAGAACAGCTGGCTGTGGTTCTGTCAGACAGGAAGATCTCTGATCATGAAGCCAGTGGGCTCTCCCAAAGACCGCCTCCCTCTTAGACCTGCGCGTGACTCGTGTCTACACTGGTGTGAGCGCTGGAGTGTTCCAGAGGTCTGTAAGGATGTGGTTGTCCAGCCCACGTTGAAAAAGTCCGGTCTGGATCGTTCCGCTTTTGAGAACTTGTGGCCCGTCCGTCTCTAAGGTGCTGGAGAAGGTAGTTCATACAACTGTTGTCACACATGGACAGCAGCTCACTGCTGGATGTGTTTCAGGCTGCTGTTAGGCCACAACGCAGGACCGACTCTGCCATGATTCGGGTCCGTAATGATATTTTAGTTGCATCTGACTCTGGGTCTAGGGCACTGCTGCTTTTACTGGACCTGGCGGCTGCTTTTGATACCGTGGCCTTCTACTGGACCGGCTCGGGTCGTGGGTGGGGGTGATGGGGACTGCCCTGGAATGTTTCCTTCTTATCTAGCTAACCGTTCAGTGTCCAGCTTAGAGCACATCGGCCTCTCGTGCTCTGCCATGGGGTGTGCCGCAGGGCTCCGTCCTTGGGCCGTTTCTGTTTTCAGTATACCTTCTAACCACAAGTCTTTAGTTTGCATGGAATCAGTTATCACCTGGTACACACAGATCAGTTTACAAGTACAAAAATCCTTTAGAGACGGTTTCTCACCTGACTGATTTGTGCGTACATGATGCGTTTGGATGCTTGGTGGAAGCTGGGAAATCTGAATTTCCTTTGGATTTAGTCTAAACTTGTGTTGACGGGACAATGTTTTCCATGGAAAAACCGTGTGAAGCACCTGGGCCAGCTCTCATGCTGCACTTTAAAACGATGAGGATGATGATGATGATGACCGCCCACCTCCCCGCCTGCCGGTGGCGCCTCTGTCAGGGTCCCAGGGCAGCTGTGGTTACGGTGTAGCTCATCACCACCAGCGTGTGACTAGACGCCAGGTCCAGCACTTAAAGCATCAGCGGCGTGTTCCTGGTCCGGGTCAGCACCTGACCTCGGTCACTTCCTTATCTGGGCCGGCCCATAATCCAGATTAGCTCAATGCGTGATTGGCTCCTGTAGGGGGGCGTGGCCAGCATTCAAGGAAACCAACCAGGATCAAATCCAAACTCCGTGTTTCTGACACACGTGGATGTAGACGATGAGCTCATGTTCAACGACCCGCCCAGCTGTTGTCGGGTCAGCCGTTTCTGGTCCCAGTGCGGGCTGAACCCAGGTTCCAGAGTCCGTTCTAGCAGGGTTCTGGTCGCGTTTGGCACGTCTGAGGTTCTGTAGAGAACGGTAGACTCTTCTCATCCATCTTCTTTAATTTTATAATCCGAGTGTCAGGCGGGTGGTGTTTCTAAACGCCGCGCCCGCCTGGAGCGAACAAACGCAGCTGAGAACGAGCGAGGACATGCTGGAGGTCCTGTGACCCGGTTCTGGTCTTGTTTCCAGGAGTTGAGAACATTGAGAGGGTTCTGTTCACCATCATCCAGGGCGCCGTGGATTTCCCAGACCCCGTCGCCCAGAAGACCTGCTTCATCATCCTGTCCCGGCTGGTGGAGCTGTGGGGTGAGTCGCCGCTCTGGCTTCAGCTGTTCCCTACGCCGCAGCTCTTATTCTGGTTCTGATCCGACCTGCAGGAGGGAAAGACGGCATGGCGGGCTTCCCTGACTTCATCTACAAACACATCGTCCCAGCGTGTTTCCTGGCACCTCTCAAGCCGACCTTTGACCTCTCTGATGCTCAGACGGTGCTGGTGAGTTTCTGCTCCTGGGTGCGTTCTGAGAACACGCTCCGGTTCTGACGGTTCTTCTGGATCCGCTTTGTTTCAGACGCTCTCGGAATGCGCGCTGACGCTGAAAATGATTCATCTGAAACGGGTAAAACTCCTCTTTGGTCTGTCGCTCGCGTGCCGGCGGTTCTGCTTTAAACGTCCGTTTGTTCCAGGGTCCCGAGTTCCTCCAGTTCCTGCAGCACGAGTACCTGCCGTCCCTCCAGGTCACTCCGGAGATCGCACAGGTAACCAGAACGGCTCCAGTCCGACCCGGACCGCGGTCAGCTGGTCTGGAGCTCAAACGAGATGTAGGAAGAGGAATGTTGTCCTGCTAACGTGTGTGTGTGTGTGTGTGTGTCTAACAGGAAGTGTGTCATGTGCTCCAGCAGCCTGACGTGAAGGTGCTGAAGAACTACATCAAGGTACGAGTCGTTATTCCCGCCAGCGCTCCGTGGTTCCGACTCGGCGTGACTCGGTTTGCTTTTACCTGCAGGTGTTTTTCCAGAGAGCCAGGCTGTGAAGCCGGACCGCCATCCGCACCGCCAGACAGGAAGCAGAAAACTCGCCGTGCAGCAGGAAGGAACTCATCCTACAGCTTTTGCACTTAACAAGAAAACGTTGGAGGCGTGAGTCGGAGAGGGGTAAATCCCGGGAACCGGAGCGAGGAGCTGCTCGATGGAAGGTTCTGAAGCTGAAGAACCACACATCCAGATGTTTGCTGCTGCAGGACAGAAACGGGCTGAATGAGAACTTTACTGAGTTGGCGTGTGACGTGCTTTGCTTTGATCTCTAGCTCGCAGCGACTCGCTCTTCCGTCTGTTTCCTGATGTCGGAACGCCGAGAGGATCTGTTGTTGCTTTGGAAGTTTGCCACAATAATGAAGCTGAATCAGAACCAAGTGTAAATAAGAGATGGTGTTAAAATGTAAATAAATTTCAGATGTTTAGTTTTTAAAAACCTCTGAAGGGCGAGGAGAGAACGTTCTCCGGTTCCACTTTTCTCCTGAACTTTCAGGTGTTTTCATTTGTGAAGCAAATCCCAACGGAACTCTGAATCCACCTCCTGAACTGGACTTCCTGTGTTTCATCAGAGCTGACCTTTTATTTATTTTGCTTTTTTTTAAATATATAATTTACAAAACTTGTTTAGTTAAATAATTCTTGATTTTGTCTTCATTATTCATCTTAGTTCAGTTTAATAAATATCAAATACTGAAGAGGTTTTATTTATCGGTTATTTTTAATCGGACGTATATTTTAAACTTGTAGATCTTTAGTTTGTTCACCAGACAAGAGTTCAGACGCACCACTGGGTCGTTACAGCGTCGCCGCCATGTTGGATGGGTTCCTCAGTGGCCCGCTGCTACGTCAGCTCCAGTCTACGATCTATCGTTCACGTTTGGGGTCAGAGGTCGGCGGTGTCCTGCAGGGATCTAACACACCTGACGGGTGATTCAGACGTTGGTTCAGGTGCGCTGGAGCAGAGGAGCCAGTAGAACGTGGACAGGATCCCTGAGCAGGGGATCAAGGAGCCAAATTTAAGCTATAATTTCCAGCTGCTGCCTGGAACCGGTGGGATCAGCCATCCAGTTACCGTTAAACTTCCCCACGGCGCAAGCTCCCACTAGCTTAACCAGCTAATGTGCTCATCTAAAAATAGCCCCCTTTCACAACCAGCTGAATGTGTACGGTTCCGCTTACGGCAACATCACAGAAAAAAGGCTGAACTGGAAATGAAAGAATCTAGTTTATTGGGTCTTTGGTAATTAAGACCTTTGGAAACTGTATTTAAGGATTTTCTGTCATTTTTAAGGCCTTAAATTTGGAAAAGCTAATTTAAGACTTTTTAAGACCCGCGGATCTGCTGCTGAAGCACCAGAGCAGAACCTTCTGCTCAGCTAACATCTCCGACTTCCTGTCCCCACAGGAAACATCTGGTCAGACGGAACTGAATCCAGAACATTCTTTATTAAACACACATCAACGCTTCAGCAGCTTTAATGGAAACACTCCGACATCACAGCCGTGACACGAGTCCTTCATGTTTTCCCAACAGAAATTACGTGAAGAAGCGGCCATGTTGGATCCAGCGAGCTTCAGCCCTTGATCACAGCGATGGGCCTCAGCTTGATGGCCTTCTTGCTGATGCCGGCGTCGTGACACGTGTTGACCACATCCGTCACGTTCTTGTAGGATTCTGGAGCCTGAAACAGAAAGCATCCCTTTGCTGCCTCCGTCTCTCCTGGAGGATGAGGCCTTTGGAAGAAACGGAGCTCATTGTTCTCACCTCCTCCATGACCAGTTTGGGTGAAGCCACTCGGATGGCGATTCCCATGTCAGCCAGCTTGTCCAGAACATCCTGGAAGTCCAGGTTCCGGCGAGACTTGGCTCGCGAGAGGGCGCGACCCTGAAACACACGACAGAACGTTTATGAACGGGCCGACTCGAACATCGATGAAGATGATCAGGTGGGCCCGCACCGCTCCGTGACACGTGGTGCCGAACGTCTCCGTCATGCCTCGTTCGGTCCCCGTCAGAACATAGCTGCAGGTTCCCATCGTCCCTCCGATCAGCACGGGCTGCCCGGTGAGCTGGAAAACACGACAAGGTCTCGGGTCGCCCCTGATGGCGTGTGTGCACGCGTGTGTGTGTGTGTGTGTGTACCTGGTAATCTACGGGGATGAGGGGGTGATGTGGAGGGAATGCTCGGGTGGATCCTTTCCGGTGGACCAGCAGCGTCCTCTGCCTCCCGTCCACCATGTGCTCTTCCACCTTGGCGATGTTGTGGGACACGTCGTAGATGACGTGCATGTCCAGGTCGTCTGGTGTGGTGTTGAAGACCTTGGAGAAGGCCTGTTGGACGAGATCCAGACCCACAGAGCTCAGGTTTTGGTTCCCTGCGCGCTCATCTCGGTGGAATTCCAGATCTTGCAGGTGAGCTTACCTGTCTGGCAAGGAAGGTCATGGACGAGCGGTTGACCCACGCGTAGTTTCCTGCCGCCGCCATGCCCTTCAGGTAGTCCTGACCCTCCTGGGAGGTGATGCGAGCGCAGGCCAGCTGGCGGTCGTTCACCGTGATTTTATCACGTTTCATCGCCTTCTCCATGGCAACCAGAGCGTCTGTCAGACAGGGCTGTTAAGATTTGCACCAACATCGCCGTTTCTCTGTTTTAAACCAACTGGACCACAGAGCCGCTGATCTGGGAGCCTGGGGCCGTCCTACCTGTGGCAACCTGGTGTCCAAGTCCTCTGCTGCCGCTGTGGATCATCACACACACCTGGCCCTTGTGGTCGATGCCCATCTTCTTGGCTGCGTAGTCATCATAGATCTCATCCACCACCTGGATCTCAGCGTAGTGGTTTCCTGCTCCCAGAGTTCCCAGCTGCAACACAGAAAAGTCCACTCTGACTGAGCCCGGTGTAAGGGGCGGGGCCTGTGCGTTACCTGTGGCAGGCCTCTCTTCTTGGCCTTGGAGGACACCTTGTTGGGGTCAGCCTGCAGCATCCTGCCATACTCCTCACAGTGCTCCTTGTCCTCAGCCCAGGCATAGCCCTCCCTCAGCGACCAGTCCACCCCCATCTCCAGAGCCTCTTCCAGGTCTCTGAGGACACACAGGTGAGACGAGATCCAGCTGTGACCTACATCTGGCTTTGGAGAGTCCTTCTTACTTGGCTCCCATAGGGATGACACCTTTGGACCCAACTCCGACAGGGATGTGGTCGAACAGAGACTGGGCTAGCTGTTCTTTGACAGGCTGGACGTCCTGCTCGTCCAGGTTTGTCCTCAGGAGCCGAACGCCGCAATTTATGTCAAAACCGACTCCACCTGAAAGGTGCACGGAATGCCAATGAGCCCAAAATTCCTTTCCCCTACAGAGAATCATCAGCTTGGACCGCTGTTTGGAATCACCTGGAGACACGACCGCCTCAGGGTTGTTCATGTCGAAGGCCGCCATGTTTCCGATCGCAAACCCATAGCCAGAGTGGACGTCTGGGAGGCCGATGGACCTCTGTGGACAGAAGACACGGTGAGATTCAGGATTACTTATCATTTAAACAAATCATCTTCACTCACATGAACAATCCCAGGAAGAGCCGCGACGTTCCCGATCTGCTTCATAGCCGGCAGGAACCCGCCCACACCTGAAGACGACAGCCAAACAGGTGACCTATGGACCCTGGGAGAGGGGTGCCATCTATCTACTGATGCATGGACATGTGGACAAACCACTCTGATTGGTTAAAAATAATAACACCTTTAGTTGTCCCTCAGTGGGAAAACCGCATTATTGCAACAGCTGAAGGACAGAATAGAAGCAGTAGCTCACACAACATCACACGGGAGTACAGTACTAGTAGTACTAGTACTAGTAGTGGTACTAGTAGTAGTAGAAATAGTAGTAGTACTAGCACTAGTAGTGGTACTAGTAGTAGTAGAAATACTAGTACTAGTAGTAGTGGAAATAGTAGTAGTAGTAGTACTAGTACTAGTAGAAATAGTAGCAGTAGTAGTACTAGTAGTAGTAGTAGTACTAGTACTAGTAGAAATAGTAGCAGTAGTAGTACTAGTAGTAGTAGAAATAGTAGCAGTAGTAGTAGTAATATTAGTACTAGTAGTAGTAGGGCTGCAACAAACGATTATTTGGATAATCGATGAATCGGATGGGGTCTCGACACGATTAATCGATTAATCGGATTACATGGGGACATTTTTTAAAAACTGCTAGGGAAACGTTATTTCTCTCCTTCCTTCACTTTATTAAACACAACATTATTAGAAAACAGTTCAATAGCAGAAAAACAACATGCCATCACCTAAAATGTCTTATAAGGTGTATAGACAGAGACCCTAAGCTACACCGACCTGTGGTCGAAGGGACCGGTGGCGCCAGTGCTCGGCAGCCTCGCCTCTGTCAGTGCGCCCCAGGGCAGCTGTGGCTACATTGTAGCTCATCCCCACCAGTGTGTGAATGTGTGTGTGAATGGGTGAATGACTGATTGTGCTGTAAAGCGCCTTGGGGGGTTCCAGGACTCTAGAAGGCGCTATATCAAATACAGGCCATTTACCATTTACCTATCTGTGACCTAAAATGCTTGGTCCAAGTTAAACAGCAATTGTCATCTGTTTTGTTTGATCTCATCTGTAGACATTTATTATAATTGGAGATGTCAAACAACTAATTTTTAAATGTAATTAAACATAGGCTGTGAATTAATCAAAATTAATCACTATTTCCAAAAATGACTGAAAAAATACCAAATAAAACAAAAGTAAATGAATGCCATCCTCCTTGCGATGATGCCCTGGGCAACTGCCATAAAGTCACATCAAGAAATGCTGCTGATCATTCCAATGATCCCAAATAGACTCACATTAGGCCACATGAAAGCAACTGAACCCAAAAATATATTAACCAGTATATAACTGCACTCTCACACAACACGCCTGCAGCAACAGTTAGGACTCCTCCCTCCCTTTTAAAAGCGTTTTTGCTTCTGAGGACATTGTGGTTGTAAAACCACATGCTAGTAGTCTGGCCCCGGTGTGATCAACCAGTTTCTGCGGGAATGTGACGGCGGAACCGGTTCGCAGCAGTGCGAGTCCCCCCCGCCTATCTAATAGTGTCGCGTTTACGATTTTATAGACTTTTTTTTACGAGCTTAGGGCATGTCTAGCCTGTGTAATAATCCGGGGCTTGGGTGAATCACTTTTGAAAAGTGTTTAACTTACCCGGACACCGAGCTCTCTCCTTCCTCGCTGATGATTCTGACATGCTTGCGTTTAAGATGCTGCATCATCACCGTAGTATCCCCGTGCCATGCTAAGTCTGACCTACAAACGTTGCAGGTAATGAATGTCTTCGCCTGATTTAACTGAAAATGCTCCCAAACTTTAGAAGTTTTTATTTTTTTTGGGGTCTCGCTGCTTCTGCCATGTTCCTCTTCCAAACACCTGCCGGCTCTCTGGTCTGCGCGCAACGGTGGGCGGGAGGGGAGGGGGCTTTTGGAAGAGTTGTGCAACACAACGAATCGATGACGCAATCCGTTGCCAACGCTTTTAGTAATCGATTTTCATCGAATTTATCGATTCGTTGTTGCAGCCCTAAGTAGTAGTACTATTACTAGTATTACTACTACTATACTCCCATGTGATGTTGTGTGAGCTACTGCTAGTAGAACTAGTACTAGTAACTAGTAGTACTAGTATTAGTAGTAGTAGTAATAGTAGTAATATAGTAGTACTAGTAGTATAGCACATGCCAGTGTTACAGATGAATAGGTTCCATTTCACCAGTGCCCATTACCGTCTAACGGCGGCAGGAAGGAAAGACCTGCAGTATCTCTCCTTCACACAGCGAGGATGGATCAGCCCGTCCCTGAAGCTGCTCTCCAGCTCTTCAGGTCGTTTAATCAGGCTGAAGAGCATAAACTCTAATGTGAGCACAATAACACCCTTATCCGAGGTCCGCATCGCTGCGGGCTTGGGTGAAGAGTGAGGGTATCGGGAGACCCTACGCACTCGCACCCCTGGCCGGGAACGCGCAAATGAAGGGCACAAGTGTGGAAGTGCGAGTGTTGGGATTGGGTCCATGTGTGTACCGCACCGTGATCACTATACCACGCAGGTATGGTGATCACGGTGTGAACACGTGAACATTTATACCCAACGGAGACTGCTGAGTGAGACTGGTGTTGTGTCTAAAAGTGTTCCTCCTGTCTGTGTGAGCCTCTCACTCATTGAAGGTTCTGACTCTTACAGAGCAAGTTAGGCAGACAGGAAGTGATGTCAGAGGACCAACCCACCTCCACCACGACAGGCGTTACGAAGCTCCTCGAACATCAGCTTCTCCAAGGACTCGTTCACGTAGAAAACTCCTTCAACCTGACAGGAAACAAACAGATTCAGGAGGCCTGAGGGTGTCCAGCTCTGGCTCTAGCCAGTTTACTTCCTAACAGAAGCATCAGTTGTAGCCAGATTAACGTCTGCTCTCAGAGTCTCACTGAAGCACGGACTAGCTTTGATTTAGAAGTGTGTGTGTGTGTGTGTGTGGGGGGGGGGGGGGGGGCACAACCGGCATGACGACTGGGAGGCATGGGGAGAACCTTCACAGCAAGTTTACATAAACCATGTAAGCCCAACCAGCCATTCCTCCCCATCCCCGCATATTTCTCTCCCCCTGCTCCCTCACATCATCACACTAACATGCACATAGGACCTTGGGGGGTGGACAAGTCAGGGAGTGTGGGTATGGACCCCATTTCCAATATTTCCAGCAGAAATGGTCGAACTCTTAGAACCGGTGATGGTTGTACCCCATGTGCAGCGGTACCGGGACCAGAGTGAATAGGGTGTGTATGGGGAGCATTTTTGTAAGTCTTGGGTTGTATGTGTATGTGTGAGCATGAGGGAGGGAGTGTGTGACTGTGTTTGTGTATGACTGTATATGTCAGGTGGGGCCTTTGACTCCTCCCCTCTCCTGGGACCTCCTTTGATGATATAGATCTTCGTCTCCCCTCCCCCTGCCACACCTGGTGTGGGGTGTGGTGCCTTGGTCTGCCTGGGTCGTGGCTCCCGGGTCAGGGGGTTTAAGATTTTTGGCGTCTGCCTGATAGATCCCAGTGGCTGCCTGGTGGGGTCTGGGTCCCTGGGCTCTGCTGGGTCCCCGGCGGGGGTGGTCACCCCATGGTCCCGGGCTCGGCCGGCTAGGGGGTGGGAGGCTGCGGGCGGGCCTGTGGGCTTGACGCTGATGTCTCCCGGGACTCTGCCGGCTGCTGGTTGTGGCCCCCCGGGGTGATCCTCTGTGCCTCTCGAGGGGGGCGGGGCCTTTCTGGTTGCAGACCCCTTGGGGTTCCTGTGTTCTGGGGCAGCGCCTGCATCTCTGGGACTTGGAGCTCCCCTTGTCTCCTACGCATCTTTAGGGGGCAGATCTGTGGCCCCTCACACTCTCTGTTGGACGCTCCTACAGAGAAACCTTGCATAAAGAAGCGGGTGTACACACACAGGTGCTCACATGGTGCTCTCATAAGTATGGACTTGGGCACGTTAAACACATGTCTTAAGGCTATGGTTGCCACTAAATGCACTGTGGTTTATTATCGTGTGATTGTTCAGTTAAACCATGTTGATTTTATATTTCATCATCAGGTTGACGCAGTGATAGCTTGCTCCTGATGTATTGTTGTGTGTCCCATTTTTTTCTTCTCTCTTTCTGCAGGTCTAGAAGCAGACTCTTGTTCATTATTGTTTATTTTTGTCTTTTCCTTTCTCTTTCACCTCTGACTCTATGTCTGGTCGGAATTTAAATTAAAAAAACATGGAAGTCTACAGCCTAGAGGCTCTTTTAATGCGCATAATGTTTTAGGATGGTAAGAAGTGCAGGGGACTAAAATGTACTTTGGAAAAGGTGTGTGTGTGGTGTGTGTGTGTGTGTGTGTGTGTGTGTGTGTGTGTCTTTAAGGGTAACTAAGCTGAATAATGTAAAACGTTGTATAGTAATGTGAAATACGGGATCCATTTTCTCTATTTTGAGCAGAGGTTCACCCCGGCTACCACAGTACATCACCCGACACCTACACGAACCTCCGGCCCAACTGGACCTCCAGAAATGTCCGAACCGACTCACCTGCATGTTGGGCACGAACCCATTTTTGATCCTCCAGCTGGTACTGTTGATTTTCTCCAGATACTGCAGTTCATCGTTGTAACTGCGGCTCATGGTTCCGATTCAAATGGGTCGGACTCGCAGGTGAACCACAGTCTCCCACCACGCACCGGAACTATGGCTGCTACGGAAGCCTGTGCGCATCAAACACCACGTTTACGTTGACAAAAAAATTCTTAGCCTGAAAATCAGCTTCTAAAAACTTCAGATAAAATGTTGAACATCTGTTTAGTACTTACGAAAGTTCGAACGTGTACGTTTACAATTCTTCTTCTGTTTTTCCTTCTTCTACTGCTTTTTGTTTATTGCTGTTTGCATTACCGCCCCCTGCTGGACCGGAAGATGAATCTCAACCAAAAAACCCATAACCTGACCAGCCAGCCCCATTCAACCATATGAGAAGTAATGAAGACCCACTTATTCATTGGCTTTCAACACAACAGGACCCGTGCTGGTGGTGACACTAACGGTGAGACTGATGGTTGTGTTTGAGTAGTGTGGATTGGTGTATGTATGTGTGTGTGTGTGTGTGTGTGCTGGCATGAGGCGTAAGAGAGGGTGTTCGCTCAGGGCACCAAATGGGCTAGGAGGATCACCCCTGGATGGTGAGACTGATGGTGACACTGATAGTGAGACTGATGGTGAGACTAACGGTGACACTGATGGTGAGATTGGTGTCACGGCCCATTTCAAGCCTCTTCAAATTAGCTTCTTGAGTCATATTTTCATGTTTGACAACCCCAAGTGACAGATATAAAAAACCATTGAACTTCTTTATTTGATTTCATGTTGTTCCGTATGGTATTTATTCTAATTTGCTTTCTTTTTCAAAAGAGTTTGGGTTCTTGTAGCATGATGTGGCTTTTATATTTTGTATACGATTTAAATTGTTTTATTGTGTGGTTTCGTTGGACAGCACTTTGTTCAGCTTCACTGTAATTTGAAGGTGCTTTACAAATGAATTGGTGTGTAAGGGGAGTGCTGTTGTAACATCAAAATCCAGTTTAACGTATTATACCTATCTGCTCTCTTACATGTGCTCAGCAGTGAGCATGCTGTTTGCAGTAAACTACAGTAGAGCACAATATGACATAGAAAACCAGTAAACTACAACACAGATGAATAAACTACAATAGAAACCAGTAACTGACCACAATGGTAAATGCCATTGAAACCAGTACACTGTAACAAACACCAATGAACTATAAAAACTAACAGAGAGGAAGAAGAAAACAAAAAAGGAGCATTTTCTACAGCCCATTAGAAGAAAATGAATCACTATAAACTACAACAGAAACGTCCAACTAGCTATAATGAATGAGCTTTAGTGGAAACTGGTAAATGACAGAAATTATATAAACAGTTGTAGGAATAATTAAAGTATTGTCAGTGATCAAACTCCGACATGAATAAACTACAACTACAGCAGAAGTGGGTAAACGACAGTTTGGGTGAATAAACTACATTAGAGCGATAGGCCTCAGGGGTCAGCCATCTTGTAGCGGGAGGACAGATTGATGCGGTGAGCACCTTATTTTGTGTATTTTAACCAATTAAACATTTTCTTTGCCGTTACTGATCAGAACCACACCCAGGAAGAACTGGGTTCGTCTCTTCTGACTGAAAGAGACGTCCTGGTAAATAAAATGTTTGAAACCGGGGTTTGAAAGCGGCTTTCGCATCTTTTTGTTGTTTGGGGGAATTAGGGCGCAGTGGGCCCACACCCGGACTCAAAATACCCAGTTTACCCAGAGGAACCGGTCTCCCGGACCACGCTTAGACCCCACGGTACCGACGCGCTTATAACGTAAAAACGGGTTCTAGTCCTCTGCTAGATGTTTAGCTGTTAGCACGCGAGCTAGCAGCTAAATGTTTCGTATCGGTGTAGCTTGTAGCCTACTGTGGCTAACTGTAGCATCTGATACTGTTTAATCTAACCAGCTGACATCAGATTGTGTTTTATAAACACAAAACCTCAAAACAGACAAATAAGTGGCTATTTATGAATTTTGATTAAAAAATACCGACAATACTAAAAGTGATTGTTGGTGGCATTAGCTTGAATAGGTATTGTTAGCATTTAGCGTCTTCTAAACAGACTTTTACCCGAACGACTCGTTTTCACGTCTAATAATAAACATAACGATTATGTTCTGCCAACAACCAATTAGCAATAAAAATACGTTAAAACGTATTTTTAGTTGCTGTTTACTGTGTTTCTGTGCATACTCGTTTGTTTAGCAGGCTGTTGTAAACAAAAGCTAGCTACGGAGCTAGAGAGTTACAGGATGGAAATCAGACACGTTTGTGTAGTAAAACCAGTAGTTAAACTCAGCATCACATTTATACACAACCCCCACAAAGGATCTGAGCTTTGTTTTGGTTCATTTCATTGTTATAAACAGCATCACCACCGGAAATCTGCTTGCTTATGTTTAGGACATCTGATTTGTGTTGAGTGACGTGATGAACTCTTCAGGAGTCGGTTAGAGGTTGAATGAATCTGGAGCTTTTTCCCAGAATCGTGTCCGAACACCTCATGACCGGAAGGCTTAGAAGCACATGAGATTATGAGACTGAAATCCATCAACTTTCTGTTCTGCATCCAACAAGTAGACCTGAGGACCAGGGTTCAGGACCTTTGTGCTCCAGTGACATTTGCATTGAAAGGCCAGCAGGACGACACAAATCGCTGGCATGCAGATGTTTCAAGCCTATGAATCAAGACACAACTGTTGAATAATCATCACATACTTGACCCAAAATGTACTGTCACATTGTTCAGAGTCTTTCTCTTGGTGGTTTGTTGTCCCTCCACCTTCTCTCGATATCACCAGGTCAGGTCATTAAGCCAATCAGTAAAAAGTTTCCTGTTTAAGGAGCCCAGCAGGTTGCATCGAGTCACTGACTGAACTCTGGTTCACAATAAAAACTGGTGCTTAAGAGGAGTTTTAGTCACTCAGAGCTCACGGACGCGGTGCATGATTTATTCCCAGTTCAACCAGAGGACTGAAGGAACGCAGTTGTATCATGAAAGTGTTTTAATGAAGTTGAAGTAAATTATTAGAACTTACGGCACATTAATAATGGCCTGTGTTTGATATAGTAAATATGAGTGCCTCTCTCTCTCGAGCACTCTATAGATAAAGATGTCTGGTCTGTCTGTCTGTCTGTCAGTATGCGTGCGCGAGCGAGGTTCGGGGGCCACAAATAGGGGGCCCGCCTATTGAGGACCGCTGCTACAGGATGTGATCTGTGGGGAAACCGGAGCACCGGGAGGAAACCCACGCAGGCAGGGGCAGAACACGCAACTCCACGCAGAAAGGCCACAGCCGAGTTTTGAACATGCAACCTTCTTGCTGCGAGGCAACAGTGCTAACCACTGTGCCACCATGCAGCCCAACTGGAGGAAGTTTGGCTGCATCCAGTCATTAACTTGCTGCAGAGTGAGTCTAGAGGACCACAGTCACTAGGTGATGGAGCTAGGTAGATGTGGATGTCATCTGCACAACCATGACAGGTCATGTTCTATTGTAGGACCTGGCCCAGGGGAGCATGTAGAGGCTGTAGTGGCAGCGACCGCTGCAACAGGCCCTTCCACGTCTGGACCGGTATGGTCAGGGCTGGCTCGTCAGTCTGGGTGTTTTTTTTCTCTTTTTGGTTCACACGGAGAAGATGCAGCTTCCACATCTGAGAGAGAGCCGCCCCTCCTGCAGGTGTGATGAGAAGGTGCTGGTTCTTTCTGATGCCTCTGCTTTGGTTCCTCAGGTGACACGCGGCATGTTTGGTGCTAACAGAAAGAAGTTTATGGAGGGAGGGCTAGACAGCGACTACTCTGATGACTCCGGTCTTTATTACAGCCAACAGTCCATGTTTCCTCCTCATCGACCTGACAAAGACGTGAGTCTCTGCAGTCCTGCTGTTTAATCTGTAATCCATCATCTGTTGTTCTTTTTAACAAAGATTTAAAAAGGCTTTCCAGGTTAAATCAGAAAAAGTTTGTTTGTCCACTCATCTGGTCTGGGCTGGGGGAGAGTGTCCCACAGCATTCCTCGATCAGCCTGGAGATATAATCCCTCCAGGAAGCTTCTGGACCAAAAGCCTGCACCACCTCAGCTGGCTCCTCTCCACACGGAGGAGCAGGGGCTCTCCCAGACGTCCACAACAGAAACACGCTGATTCTGTCCGTCTGACTTTATCTTCCACTCATCCGGAGGTAACAGATCTGCAGAGGATCCCAGACCTCCTTCTTCCCAGACACTCTTCCCACTCCATCCAGAGAATTCCTAGGTCTTCCCAAGGTGAAGGATGTAAATAATCCCTACAGAAAGCTCTGGAGCTGCCTTGGGATCACCTCCCAGAGTCAGGGAAACCTTCAGAAGGAGGCACCCTGAACCACGTGAGCAGATCAGCTTTGATGGAAGAGATGAAGTCTGATGTGGACACGTTTCAGACTCATGCTGACACCAGCAGCCTCCTGTGGTCAGACCATCAGATCCACAGAGATTTGCAGATGTTTCCTGATGCTGTTCTGCTGTGTGACTGTAGAGGGCGCTAACAGGTTGTGTTTTCTGTGTTCAGATGCTGGCGTCGTCCTCCTCCTCCACCAGTCAGCTGTCCCAGCTGGGAGCCAGTTTATACGGCCCACAGAGTAAGGCTGCCAGCAGGGCTGCTGGACCCGTGTCAGATGTTTGAAGTCGGTCTGCAGAAACAAGGAGGAGCTTCTTGTTTGGGTTTCTGACATGTTTTTTTCCCCGTTCTACCGAAGGTGCACTTGGGTTTCCCATGCGTGGGATGAACAGCAGCGCGGCCCCCCCGCTCTGTCGAACGGGGCTGAACCAGTCTGCCAGCCAGCTCACCAGTCACACCAGTACTCCCAACTCCAGCTCGCTGCACACGCCCCCCTCGCCCAGCAGGTACGTCCTGTCTGGCTGCTTAAACAGCCGATCCTTTCGGTTACCCCCTTTAGCTCGGGGCAGCTGATGGTGCTACGGTTCGCTGAAGCATCATCAGCTGCTCTGATGTCATCACAAGATCAGATGTCTTAACACAACATTATTATTAATATTATTGATTAGTCAGGGTTGTTTAATGTTTGATGAGCTCCTTATTAAAATCACAACCTCATTCCAGAGCCGCTCTTTGGTTTAGTTCCAGCTGGTTCTGAGCAGCCTCAGTCCAGAACAGTCCAACCCTAGCCTGACCCTACCCGAGTTTCATCTAAAGGCTAGGTCAGGGCTTCAGGTGGAACGCTGACGAGGACACATAAGGTGTGCAAACGTTAGTTCTTCTTATTTGAACTCATTGGAGTGCTCCAGCTGTAGAGTGGATGAGTTTTATTTTCAGCCTCAGTTCAGAGAGCCAGAGTGCTCGGCCATCCGAGCTTTGACCCTGGGGGGACGCCGTCAGCGCTGCTTTTCGTGGATGTTGTTTTAGTCGTGTAACAAACTCAGATGTCACCATTTTGTGTTTCATGTCCACAAACCAGCCACTTCCTGTTTCTGCAGGGGAATTCTGCCCATGAGCAGCCGGAGCGTCCTGAACCACAACCAGCAGGTGGGGGGTCCAACGGGTCAGGCGGGTGGGATAGGAGCAGAGAGGGGGGGAGGTGGAGGAGGGGGGAGGAGCGGCACCATGGGGAGTCCCAGCCGGTCGTCTCCGAGCATCATCGGGATGCCCAAACAGCCACAGTCACGGCAGCCGTTCACCTTCAACAGGTAAAACAAACAAATGAACCAAAGTAACGTTTAATCCTGCAGAAGTCCGACTCTTCCCGTGTTGACATCTGAACGGGTCTGTGTTTCTGATTCAGCTCTGCAATGACGAGTCTTTTGTAGTGAATCATCTTTTAGTATCAGGAAGTTTCAACAGCGTTCCAAACAACAACCCGCTACCAAGCCCATCTACGGTGCTGTGGTGCCTGCTGTCGGTGATCTTCCATGTAAAATCTGAACCGGTGCACAGACCAGAGACGTGGATCCCCACTGCTGAGTTCCATTCCGTTAGCATCCTGATACACTACATTAGCATCCTGATAGGCTACATTAGCATCCTGATACGCTACATTAGCATCCTGATACGCTGCATTAGCATCCTGATACGCTGCATTAGCATCCTGATACGCTGCATTAGCATCCTGATAGGCTACATTAGCATCCTGATACGCTACATTAGCATCCTGATGGGCTACATTAGCATCCTGATAGGCTACATTAGCATCCTGATACACTACATTAGCATCCTGATAGGCTACATTAGCATCCTGATACGCTGCATTAGCATCCTGATACGCTGCATTAGCATCCTGATAGGCTACATTAGCATCCTGATGGGCTACATTAGCATCCTGATAGGCTACATTAGCATCCTGATACACTACATTAGCATCCTGATAGGCTACATTAGCATCCTGATACACTACATTAGCATCCTGATAGGCTACATTAGCATCCTGATACACTACATTAGCATCCTGATAGGCTACATTAGCATCCTGATACGCTGCATTAGCATCCTGATACGCTGCATTAGCATCCTGATACGCTGCATTAGCATCCTGATACGCTGCATTAGCATCCTGATACGCTGCATTAGCATCCTGATAGGCTACATTAGCATCCTGATGGGCTACATTAGCATCCTGATAGGCTACATTAGCATCCTGATACACTACATTAGCATCCTGATAGGCTACATTAGCATCCTGATACACTACATTAGCATCCTGATAGGCTACATTAGCATCCTGATACACTACATTAGCATCCTGATAGGCTACATTAGCATCCTGATACACTACATTAGCATCCTGATAGGCTACATTAGCATCCTGATACGCTGCATTAGCGATATGGTGACACCATCCGTCCCTGTTGACTCATTTTAATGATTTGATGACGACTTCTGATTTGATGTGATCCACGAGGTCGTTTGAGACGATTCGACACATTATAAAGACTTTATAGCTCACATCTGGGTTTTAAACATCTTCATGGTTATTTTCTCCCTCTCTTTCTCTGTGAAGCACATATTTGATCCTTTACTGTTTTTGATTAATCCGTTAGTTCAACTTGAATAGAAAATGTGCTTCATCAGTGTTTGTGGAAACTTGTATATTTACATATTATACATATTATTATCTTGCTCCTTCGAGGAGATTCTGGTCCACCATCCGACGCCTCAGGGGGGAAAGCAGTGCGCTACCAACACTGGTTACAGTGGGGACGGTGTGCTGCTGACCTCTACTCAGGACGTTGTGGATCGGTGGGCAGAATACTTTGAAGACCTCCTCAATCCCACGACACATCTTCCAGTGAGGAAGCAGTCTGGGGACTTTGGGTTGGCCTCTCAAATCTCTGGTGCTGAGGTCACTGAGGTGGTTAAAAAGCTCCTCTGGGGCAAGGCTCCAGGGGTGGATGAGATCGGCCCGGAGTTCCTTAAGGCTCTGGATGCTGTGGGGCTGTGTTGGCTGACGCGGCTCTGCAATATCACGTGGACATCGGGGGCAGTCCCACTGGACTTGCAGACCGGGGTGGTGGTCCCCTTATTTATAAAGGGGGACCACAGGGTGTGTTCCAACTACAGGGGGATCACACTCCTGAGCCTTCCTGGTAAGGTCTATTCAGGAGTTCTGGAGAGGAGGGTCCGTCGGATTGTTGAACCTCAGATTCAGGAGGAGCAATGTGGTTTTGGTCCTGGCTGTGGAACACTGGACCAGCTCTATACCCTTAGGGGGATCCTGGAGGGTGCGTGGGAATTTGCCCAACCAGTCTACATGTGTTTTGTGGATTTGGAGAAGGCGTTTGACCGCGTCCTTCGGGGGGCCCTGTGGGGGGTACTCCGGGAGTATGTGGTACCAGGCCCTCTGATAGGGGCTGTTAGGTCCCTGTATGACCGGTGTCAGAGCTTGGTCCACATTGCCGGCAGTAAGTCGGGCTCGTTCCCAGTGAGAGTTGGACTCCACCAAGGCTGCCCTTTGTCACCGATTCTGTTCACAACCTTTATGGACACGATTTCTAGGAGCAGCCAAGGTGTGGAGGGCGTCCGTTTTGGTGGCCTGAGGATCAGGTCTCTGCTTTTTGCAGATGATGTGGTCCTGTTGGCTTCATCAGAACGTGATCTTCAGCTTTCGCTGGAGCGGTTCGCAACCGAGTGTGGAGCAGCGGGGATGAGAATCAGCTCCTCTAAATCTGAGACCATGGTCTTGATTCAGAAAAGGGTAGAATGCCTTCTCCGGGTCAGGGATGAGGTCCTGCCCCAAGTGGAGGAGTTTAAGTATCTCGGGGTCTTGTTCACGAGTGAGGGAAAACTGGAGCGTGAGATCGATAGGTGGGTTGGTGCTGCATCTGCAGTGATGCGGGCGTTGTACCGGTCTGTCGTGGTGAAGAGAGAGCTGAGTCAGAAGGCAAAGCTCTTGATTTACCGGTCGATCTACGTTCCTACCCTCACCTATGGTCATGAGCTTTGGGTAGTGACTGAAAGAACGAGATCACAGATACAAGCGGCCGAAATGAGTTTTCTCTGAAGAGTGTCTGGGCTCTCCCTTAGAGATAGGGTGAGAAGCTCGGTCATCCGGGAGGGGCTTGGAGTAGACCCGCTGCTCCTCCACATCGAGAGAAGGTGGCTCGGGCATCTGGTCAGGATGCCTCCTGGACGCCTCCCTGGTGAAGTTTTCCTGGCACATCCAACCGGGAGGAGACCTAAAGGTAGACCCAGGACACACTTTGCCTGATGGAGCTGGCCCAAGTAGCGGGGGAGCGTGAAGTCTGAGCCTCTCGGCTTAGGCTGCTGGAATTATTATGAAACATCTGAAGATATTTCTCAGTACTGTAATGAAACATGTGGGGTTATTGTGATAGCTGTTGTAGCCTAATGCTGCTGGAGATGTGGGTTTATCTCCGCTGTTTGTTGGACTTGTGTGATAAACTGCTGGTATATGTCCTGCTTGGTGTTTTAGTTCTGCACTAACGTTAGTGAAGGATGTCTCCATCCCGAGATCGGATCAGGATGGCTTTTTCATATTTTTCAGTAATTTGAGATCGGCAATTATAACTGATGATTCTTGCTGATCTCCTGAAATAAACTATGAGCACGTTAGCATATGCTACTTCTGGGTGAAGACCTCCTGTAGAGGGCTCCTCCTGTGTGATAGTCTCGCCCTGTTTATGGACGGGTTATGGATGATGAGTCCAGCAGCGATTTACATTTCTCAAGATGTCTGGGACACTTACCGAGTTGCTCCGCTCTTCTGTCGGCTCGTGTAAGTTTAAATCCTTCCAGGGAAACCTGGCAGTCCGCTATGAGCTTGTTCTTCCATGTCTCCGTAAGAAGACATCAGGCTGTCAGCAGTCCTGCTGAAATCAAATCGGATTTTAAAAGCCTAAAGTGCTGATCGAGACATCCCTAGTTACAGTAATAAGGAGTTATCTGAAATGACCTTGCTCAAAGCCTCCGGTGCGCTGATCAATGAAAAGCCTCAGAAGAACGTGTTGCTGCAGGGATAGAGACCATGTCATCGACGCCATGTGTGGTTTTCAGGAAGTTTGTTTGTTTTGGCAAGTTGAGAGGATTCCCATCAGTAAATATGTCCGACAGTGATTGGTGTTTCTAACGGCAGCGCACCACCTGGCTTCTAGAATAACAAACGCTACGATACTGATCAAAACACACAGGTCATAGGTCAGCTAGGACGTAGGTCAGCTAGGACACAGGTCAGCTAGGACATAGATCACCTAGGACATAGGTCCGCTAGGACATAGGTCAGCTAGGACACAGGTCAGCTAGGACATAGGTCAACTAGGACATAGGTCAGCTAGGACGTAGGTCAGCTAGGACGTAGGTCAGCTAGGACATAGGTCAGCTAGGACGTAGGTCAGCTAGGACATAGGTCAACTAGGACATAGGTCAGCTAGGTCATAGGTCAGCTAGGACGTAGGTCAGCTAGGACACAGGTCAGCTAGGACATAGGTCAGCTAGGACATAGATCACCTAGGACATAGGTCCGCTAGGACATAGGTCAGCTAGGACACAGGTCAGCTAGGACATAGGTCACCTAGGACATAGGTCAACTAGGACATAGGTCAGCTAGGACGTAGGTCAGCTAGGACGTAGGTCAGCTAGGACATAGGTCAGCTAGGACGTAGGTCAGCTAGGACATAGGTCAACTAGGACATAGGTCAGCTAGGACATAGGTCAGCTAGGACATAGGTCACCTAGGACATAGGTCCGCTAGGACACAGGTCCGCTAGGACATAGGTCAGCTAGGACATAGGTCAGCTAGAACATAGGTCAACTAGGACATAGGTCAGCTAGGACGTAGGTCAGCTAGGACGTAGGTCAGCTAGGACATAGGTCAGCTAGGACGTAGGTCAGCTAGGACATAGGTCAACTAGGACATAGGTCAGCTAGGACATAGGTCACCTAGGACATAGGTCAGCTAGGACATAGGTCAACTAGGACATAGGTCAGCTAGGACATAGGTCAACTACGATGTAGGTCAGCTAGGACATAGGTCAACTAGGACAGGTCAGCTAGGACGTAGGTCAGCTAGGACATAGGTCAGCTAGGACATAGGTCAGCTAGGACGTAGGTCAGCTAGGACGTAGGTCAACTACGACGTAGGTCAGCAAGGACATAGATCAGAAAGGACGTAGGTCAGCTAGGACGTAGGTCAGCTAGGACGTAGGTCAGCTAGGACGTAGGTCACCTAGGACATAGGTCAACTAGGACATAGGTCAACTAGGACATAGGTCACCTAGGACATAGGTCACCTAGGACATAGGTCAACTAGGACATAGGTCAGCTAGGACATAGGTCACCTAGGACGTAGGTCACCTAGGACGTAGGTCCGCTAGGACGTAGGTCCCCTAGGACATAGGTCAGCTAGGACGTAGGTCAGCTAGGACGTAGGTCAGCTAGGACGTAGGTCAGCTAGGACGTAGGTCAGCTAGGACGTAGGTCAGCTAGGACGTAGGTCCGCTAGGACGTAGGTCCGCTAGGACGTAGTTCAACTACGACGTAGGTCAGCTAGGACATAGGTCAGCTAGGACATAGGTCAACTAGGACATAGGTCAACTAGGACTTAGGTCACCTAGAACAGAGGTCACCTAGGACATAGGTCCGCTAGGACATAGGTCAACTACGACGTAGGTCAGCTAGGATATAGGTCAGCTAGGACATAGGTCCGCTAGGACATAGGTCCGCTAGGACATAGATCAACTACGACGTAGGTCAGCTAGGATATAGGTCAGCTAGGACGTAGGTCAACTACGACGTAGGTCAGCTAGGACGTAGGTCACCTAGGACGTAGGTCACCTAGGACGTAGGTCACCAAGGACGTAGGTCAACTAGGACATAGGTCAGCTAGGACATAGGTCAACTAGGACATAGGTCAGCTAGGACATAGGTCAACTAGGACATAGTCGATGTAACCATGGTTTTACTGATGAGTGACATGCACAGAGATATACACGGTGATGAAGCCGTCGGTTATGTCTGATGCACTCTGAAGCTGTCCGTGATGTTGCATGGCTAACGTCATGAACGGACTGCTGGCTCACATCAGTGAATCTCTCCATCCCTAGCACAGGTCATTAGGCGGTTTCCATCTTTGAACTATGATTTTCTTCTTTGCAGTCTACCCTGCAAACCAGATTCTCCGGGTTTCTCCAGATGTGACTGTCGTGAACCATCATTTAAAGGTGTGGTTCACTGAAAACCCGTTTTTAATGATTATCTCCAATTCTATCGGGTCACTCTGAGTGTTTCATGCAGGCTGAACATGAAAATAGTCTCCTACACACAGCTTGTCGTATTGAGATAAAACATTGACGCTGCAGAGCAGCGGGGGTAGAGTCGTGTTGCTGTTAGCCAATCAGAGGAGAGATGTCCTTATCAGGAACTAAGACTCCAGATCCTGTCGTCTGAAGCTACTTTCTCCTCTGGCTGGATTATCTGTGCTGATCCATGCACTTCAGGGCTTTTTTCTCTCGAGTACGACTTACAGGCATTCATTCCTACCAGAGACGATCGCTGATGTACTGACTAAAAGAGTGTTCCACACCTTTAATAAGTGACCAACAGCATCAAAGGGTAGAGGGACGTTACTCAAAGCAGTAACACAACAAAGTACTTTAACCCAGAGCTCCTGGACCCCAGGACATTCCCATTCAACATGAATTAATGAGCCCAGAGTCCCACGGGAACAAAACAAGCAAAAAGGATCTGATGCAGCGCCATTTTGTTTCCAATGATTGGTATCAAATAAGCTCTGTGAGAAAACTTCATTTGTCGATGATTATGCTTTTAGAGGCCCTTTAAAATGTTCTTTTTAATCATAAAAACATCTTATGGCTCTTGGAGAGTGCAGACGCTATTTTCTCCTCTCCCTCCCTCCTCATCCCAAGGCTCTTTGTCCTGTCTTTGGGTGCACGACGCTTTCTGCATTTCTTATGGAAACTAGAAATGATTAAAAATGGATCTGGTCAGCTGGTCTCAACGCGATTGACAACATTTTTTCAACGATGAGAACGGGAGAAGGGGCTCCCGGATGCCCCTCTGGGACAGAGCCAGCTGGGTATATCATGGACTCCTGGAAACAGTGGAACCTGATCTGCCTCTCTCAACTGTCTGTAGAGGATTCTGAAGACTTCTGTATATTCGTGGTGTTGGTGTCGGGATTTCTGCTGTTTGGCCTGGGAGGTTACCTGGCTTACCGGAAAATTAACGAGCTGTCGAGGAATATTGGCTCTCTCCCGGAGCTCAGGGATGGATTACACCGCGCTGTGAACGCACAAACTCATAAAATTGTCGAGATGAGTCGTAAGCTTGGAACTTTGGCTGAGATTCAGGCTCTGGCACAGAAGGTGGATTCCATCAAGGAGTGAGTTGATGGATCAGCACGGATTGGAATAGTTTGATAACACCATTATTGGATCTAGAGGGGTTGGAGACCAACAGAACTTTAAGGCAGAGAGGAAATTATCTCTGTCTGTCCCCAAAACAAGTTTTTATCTGGATCTGGTGCCCTTGGAGCCTGTGAGGCTGAAGTGATTACTCCCCCTCAGAAGAAATGTGGAATGCTGCCGTCGCTATGGAAACCCTCTCTCCCTATCCCAGCCTGGGCGGGACTGTGACCGGTGAAGGCCGTGGAACCGTATCTAGGAGTCACTGTGCTCTCTAACCCATTATCTCCCTCCCCTGTCCAAACGGAGGTGATGAGCGCTGCCCCATGTGGCTGCATGCTCTGAAGTGAGGAGAGTCCCAACCCTACCTCCCCACCTAGTGGACACTTATGTTGTGTAATGTCTGAAGTCTGTGTGCATTTCTGTCTGAGGTGTTTTTTTGCAGAGCAAAGCTGCCCTCCCTGGTGAGGGTACCTCTGAAGTGCCTTTTTTCCCCTCCCCCTGACTCTATCCTCATATAAACCCTCTGATCTCTATTATGGTAGCACGACTCGGATTGTGAATGACCACAGTCACCAATTCTTGTCATGTGTCTACGTATGTCTGTCTGATCTCAGAATTGTGTGTACTGAAACTCTAATTTCCCTCTGGGATTAATAAAGTACTTTTGAATTTGAATTTGAATAAATCCAACAGTTGGGCAGCTTCGTTTTGAGTTCTGTGCACTGATTTTATTCTGTTTGACTGTTTATGTTGATGTTCTCAGCATCTGATGCTAACATTGCCTTTCATGCTAAACAGGAATCCAGGCTTCAACATGAATAGCTCTTTATCCAACAACATCTTTAATGGCACAGGTAAAACCAAACTAAACACAAAGATCGGTTCGGTTGAATTGGATTATTTAATCCAGTATTTGTGTTGTTTTTAATTTAGAAGCCGTTCACCAACAGTTTTCATGTCTCTGGTTCCAGACGGCAGTGAGAATGTGACGGGTTTGGACCTGTCTGACTTCCCAGCGTTAGCAGACCGGAGTCGGAGGGATGGAGGCGCCAATGCCCCCCCACAGCACAACCCGCTGGCAGGCCGGGCGCCTTACGGTAACAGAACCATTATGATGGAGACAAGAGGTTATAATGTGTGATCGTACCTAAATGTACCAGATTAAATACTTCTAATGGGATGCATTTATTAATGTAAGAGAAAAACGTGAGGTACCACTGGGCTCCATTTTAGGGCCTTTTCTCCTTTCTGTTTAGCTGCCACCAGCCTAGCGCTGTTCCTTTGATCATATGGACTGGGACTAAATCACAAGCAGACTCCGATCGCTGTGACCGGGAGCCCTGGCCTTACAGATCAGCTCATTTTCCACGGTCGGAGATCAGCGGGACATTAGCTACATGCTAACCGAAGCTAACGGAGTTTTCTGGGTGTTTTTAGCTTAGTGACCAAGTTATTCCTGGGTAAACTGACTGATATCGGGCTTTGCTGGTTCACCGCGGCCAAAGATCCTGCGTGTCCACCGTTGTCGACGCACTTGGCTCTGGGAGCACTGACTCGGCTCACGGCTCCCGTGTCGCGCTCCCAACCTGAGACGAGAACGTCCACGACGGCGGACACGCGGATCTTTCCTCGTCTCTGTCAGTGCGCCCCAGGGCAGCTGTGGCTACATCGTAGCTCATCACCATCAGTGTGTGAATGGATGAATGATACAGTGTAGTGTAAAGCGCCTTGGAGTCCTTACTCTGAGAGGCGCTATACAAGTGCGGGTCATTTATCGTTCAACGTGGTGGACCAGCAAAGCCCGATAGCCTCCGCTCTCCTCGGTCAGATACCCAGCAGCCACACCAACACCTCGTATTTCAGCTGACAAGACATCATTCTGAATTTCTCTTTGGCGGCTTTGGGAGTCCAAAATGTCCCTCACAGCAGACTTGAAGCACTTTCTAGGTGGAGACGAAGCCATCCTGGTGGTTGTTGACGCTGGTTCTGCTGCATGCATTCCTTCAGTTTCACTTTCGCTTTGGTCAGCTAATTTGTTTGTCTGCGGAGTTGTAGACTTTACGGTGGGTTAACCACAGCACTTCACACCGTGGTGAATAGTTAACCGGTTCATCCTTACAACCCTAGTGCCAGCCCCTAGTGGAAGAGGGTAGAACTGCAATGTTTGCCACTTTCTTGTTGGCTTCGAAATATGCAGACCATAATGGCCCCTTAGCACACACACACACACACACACACACACACACACACACACACACACACACACACACACACACACACACACACACACACACACACACACACACACACACACACACACACACACACACACACACACACACACACACACACACACACACACACACACACACACACACACACACACACACACACACACACACACAATGCTTTCCTAGTAAAATACTTCCTGGTTGTTTATGTCGGACCAGAAGCTGAAAGTAGAACTGGTTGTGACTTCCTCAGATTCTCCTCTGAGCTGCAGCTGATGTATTTTTTTAAATTTATACCCGAACGCTGCTAATCACCCTAATCCATCCGTTTTCAGCTGCTTATCCAGCAGTTATATGTGAAGGTGACTGTGTGTATTTTCCCTTTTTATGTTCGAGTAAGACTTTACCAACGGATGGCCATTAGGGCCAAAAATCCCTGGGATCTCTATTTTCTAATGAGTACTACTTCAGATCGTTCAGCCTCCAGCAAAAAGACGAGCACATCAGATTTCCTTTCATCACCGGCAACGAGTGAAGAGGTAAACGTGTAAAACGATGTTTAATACGTTGTTAGAAGGA